AGCCAGCCAGCCAGCCCTGCACTAGTTATGGCTGGTATGAGAAAGAATGGTACTACATGAATTTATACTTTTATGAGTAGGGAAGAATGTGATTGCCGTAACAAGACCATTTAGCCTTATGTAAGCGAAGGTGCTGGAAACCAGGCGCCCTGCTCCAACACCCCCCCCCCCCCAATCGAATGCACTATCAACACACAATTCTATCAGCCTCGGATGTGACTTAGTCAGTATACCGGTTGCTCTGATCATTCGCACTAGTCTCCATGTCTGTCAAGTTCATCACATGTGCGCACGCGGCTCACCTCGGCTTCATACTCTGCTTGCTCAGTTTTCAGTGTGACGTCGATGAACAACTGCTGTAGCTTCTCATTGCAGTAGTTGATGCAGAACTGTTCAAAGCTGTTCTCCTGTCACACGCAGGCATATGCAGGCATAGATGAGCAGACACACAAGGCCGTACAGACGTGATAACAATGCATAGATGTACACACACACATACACATACACACATACACACATACACACATACACACATACACACACATACACACACATACACACACATACACACACATACACACACATACACACACATACACACACACACACACATACACACACACACACACACACACATACACACACACACACACACATACACACACATACACACACATACTTACATACACTACTGTATTTTCCAGGGTGTTAGCCGCGCTTTGAGACGCGTGGAAAACCTCAAAAATTGCCCCTGCGGCCTAGGCTCCGAATGCTGGATGTGAATTGACCAGGGCTACAGACACGGCATTTATGGTGTCATTGTTTCTGTAGCTTTATTTTACTTCACCAGAAGCACAGGCAAAATCTGCCTTCTCACTGGGCGTATTGTCACAGTTCTCGCAAAATGATGAAGATAGTGATAATGATAAGAAAATGAGGAAGAGGAAAATACAATCATGAACAAAGCACAAAGAGAAGACAGAAACAAATCAATGAGGGAGTACTACAAGTAACGAATTTGATTTTGATGAGGTGTTCCATGAAAAAGATGTGTCATTCAGTTACTTTTCATGTACTGCAATCCATCATTGTACTACAGTGCTAATCATTGCTAGCGTCGTCTCGTATGTACCAATACCTAGTTAGGTCGTATGTACCAATACCTAGTTAGGTCGTATGTACCAATACCTAGTTAGGTCGTATGTACCAATACCTAGTTAGGTCGTATGTACCAATACCTAGTTAGGTCGTATGTACCAATACCTAGTTAGGTTGCCGAAAAATTCAAAGTCTGACGTGCGGCTTATAGCACCAAATGTCGACAAAATATAAATTTTGGACCTGAATGGGGAGGGGGGGGGGGGGGTGCGGCTTAGACCCTAGTGCGGCTACCACCCCCCCCCCCCACCCCCGGAAAATATTATTGTACTGTTCGATTTTGTCTTAAAACCAATACAGCATGACTGTAATGACCTAGTCTGTCAAAACTTCCTCTCTCAAATCACCACGAGTTCGTCTTTCACCTCCCCCCCCCCCCCCATCTATCACTTCTTCTATTGCCTGCTCAAACTTTCCAATCGGACAGGGACATTTCAGTGCTGTACACCAGCACCCGCGCATGCACCAACGCACACATGTGCGCACACACAAATACAAAACCATGCAGCATGTACTGTAAAAGCAGAAATTTTCGGTGGTGTTTTATTTCGGTAACTTCGGTGCCGACAATTTTTACCGGAAATAAAACGCACCTACAACCGGTACTGTATACATGAGCCTGAGCGCGCTAAAACATGACCACAGCTTTTTTTTGAAAAAGCCGAGATAATCGCGATTTGAATTCCGCGGCAAAAAATACGAAGTGCAGTGCAACGCGAGTCGCTGTTGTTCTCCTCGATTGACTGGACTGTTCCGGATGCAATTCTTTGTTGCAAGTAAGTCTATTTTGTTTGAGTTTGTATTCCATGTTGCGCTGAGTCGCCTAAAACTGATCGTCATCGATGTATCGACAGAAGAGCCTAGTAGTAGTAATGTACTGCGGAGCGGAAGAAGACGACATCATCGCACTCCATGCGCAGGATAAAATATTATGAGGATTCGGGTCGGAAACAGAAGGAAGACGATGATGGCTACAGCGACAAGTCATTTGAGGGCGACACTTTCATCGAGCGTAAAAAGAATTGATGCTGGTAGTCCCACGATCTGCAGTGACGAGGAATTCTACTCTGATGACAACCTGGCAAGCGATTGGCATCGACACTGACTTGGAAGGTGAGTCGGCCGATGATTTGGCCAGAATGGACATCGCTGCACATATCCGGGACAATGCCAGTATTGGTTGCAAGTGCAAAAACAATCAATGGACTCTGCTGCTCCCTCAACTTCCTCAAGTCGATAATTTGAGTACCCTTATGCAGAACATCGCTAGCACGAGCAGTATGCAGCGAAAGCAGTACTCTCTGGCGAGTGGAGAAAACCGTGTGCAGATGGGCTTCGGTGTGGGGAATATGAGTGCGACGTCTAGTATGTTGAGGAAGACTGTGTGCAGCAGTGTATACTGTATATCTGAAAGTACAGGTGGAGTGTGATGGAGGGGACATGGGGTGCCGACTTCTTCGGCCATCTACAGATGTTGACCGTGTTTTCGCTGGCGGTTCTCCAGTGGTGCTCCAAACAGGAGGTATTTCGGACACCCAGCTCAGCTGCATAGACAATTAATTATTTGGATGTGGCTAAGTACCTGTCAGCTCATGCTATAAGACCCTGGACAGAGGAACTGACCCGGAAAGGATGAACCAAGGGGTGTGCAAAAATGACAATCCCATTGCTGTACATAGAATTTCACCATTTCAACAGTGCTGCATATAATACCATTGTAGCAACACTTAGACATGTCCGATCAATCCAAAACTTCCAAACAGTGAACATTAGGTGTGTTAGATCATTTTTGAACAAAAACTGAAAATCGAATTTTTGGTCTGTGGTCATATTTTAGCGTGCTCTGGCTCACATGTAGTATTAGTGCACTTACCTGGAAAACGGGTTTTACCGAAAATTTCCCTCCACCGAACCGCCGATTTTGGAGAATACCGAAAATATTACACCACCGAAAATTTCTGCTTTTACAGTAGTTGACAGTGAAAGTATATTGATACTTAGCTACATGTACCATTGATACTTAAAACTCACATTGAATATCTCAAAGCCGTAGATATCCAGCACACCAATGCAGAGCGTATCGTCGAGATCGGTCTGAATGTTCTCATTCATCTTCTCTGCTAGCCACCGGAACAGGCGCTCATACAACGCTTTGGCCAAGGTGTGCCGTGCATACGATGACTGCATGGTAAAGAGAACCAATAACATGATGAGCAGCATGTGTGGTACATACCTGGACTGTGCACGAACCCTGAAGGAATTCGTCATGTATTATGAATACTAATGATGGTCACGGTCATCTGCACACAACTTGAACTCGGAACACATCAACATAGCCCTCCACATAGCCCTCCACTGGACACGACTTCATGTAAGCTGACCACCTGGATAATGCACATCACATGGCACTGATTTCATGCCAGCAAGGACAGTGCCAAGCCAGCAGCCTGGGGAAATGCTATGACACTCTGCTGAATGTAGGCGGAATACGTAGACTAGCAACTTCCACACCATAGCAGAATGTTCTTTGTGGGTACGTGGGCAGTAGACAAAGCCATCAATTGCACACTGGCATGGTAACAAAGGGTACTGAGGAAAGCACGTCTCTTCACCAGACCAACACCCTCCCATCTGTGTACATTGACACGACATCTCACACACCAGCAGCATGATACATGTACTGCTGAGATCAGCACCTCCTACCTGTTCTTGATCCAGTGGCGACGTCACCATCTGTCCCTGTGCTACTATGGTGTTGTTAGTGATGGCTGCCAGCAGGGCCTCGCTGCTCATGCTCAACAGCTTGGCGGCACTCTTCAAGTCTGCATAGCCAGGCAGGCACATGCACATGCACAGCCCAGGCACAGCCAGCATGAGTACATTGAACGAATCGTAGGATTGAACTGAAGCGCACGTGACTCAATCCTAACCCCATGTGGATACTCTCAAGAGTGCACAACCCCAAGAGTGCACAACCCCAAGAATGCACAACCCCAAGAGTCCACAACCCCAAGAGTCCACAACCCCAAGAGTGCACAACCCCAAGAGTCCACAACCCCAAGAGTCCACAACCCCAAGAGTGCACAACCCCAAGAATGCACAACCCCAAGAGTGCACAACCCCAAGAATGCACAACCCCAAGAGTGCGCAACCCCAAGAATGCACAACCCCAAGAATGCACAACCCCAAGAGTGCACAACCCCAAGAGTGCACAACCCCAAGAATGCACAACCCCAAGAATGCACAACCCCAAGAATGCACAACCCCAAGAGTGCACAACCCCAAGAATGCACAACCCCAAGAGTGCACAACCCCAAGAGTGCGCAACCCCAAGAATGCACAACCCCAAGAATGCACAACCCCAAGAGTGCGCAACCCCAAGAATGCGCAACCCCAAGAGTGCACAACCCCAAGAGTGCACAACCCCATATCTGCCACAACAACAGACTACAGAGTATGCTGTAGATACACGTACACTGTGATGCTCAGTTTCATTTTAAAAGAATGCAATCATCAGCTAGCAAACTTCAGAACTATTTTATTGAACTCTCTTGTGGCAAATAAATATGGTGGTAAAGACACACCTGGCAATATGGCGCCATATTGCCAGGTGTGTCTTTCCCACCATATTTATCAACCATAAGTACAGCTGCAGTGGTGTCTTCAACTTCATTCTCTTGTGGCAATGCTGGCTTACCAAAGCTCCCCTTCATAGTGTCCGTCTCAAGCTGGCCCAGCAGCAGAACCCCGCCGAGTACCTTCACAATCTCACTGACATGCTCCTTGCCAAAGCCAAGGAAAGTGAGGCAGTTCTGATCGGGCAAGAGAGAAGCGGATGTTTTGACACACACACACACACACACACACACACACACACACACACACACACACACACACACACACACACACACACACACACACACACACACACACACACACACACACACACACACACACACACACACACACACACATATACACACACACACACACGTCATGTACACCATGTACACACACACACACACACACACAAACACACACACACACACACACACACACACACACACACAAACATGTGCATGAACAAAAAACGCACACATATACACACTAGATCACTAGCAGAATATGATTGAAGGCGCTAGAAGCAGAGGGAGATTGAGTAGAAGGCCAATGGATGCCTTTTCAGTCTCCAGCAAAGGTTATGTGATGACATCACCATTTGAGATGCTTTGCACGGAGTGGTAGAGCAGTGACACACGCACTGGGTTACCACTCACATCTCAATACAAATCAGCTCAGTTTGCATGGGTCACCACTGCATAGCCGTGATTTTGTAATGTAACTTTCTAAATAGAAACAAGCAGTGTTTTCCATTCCATGCAAACTAGTGGCACTGGTTCCCACCCCATACAAAAAAATATCCATGCGATGAGCTAATTCCCATCTGAGAACCTTTCTTAGGCAAACCACCAGGTCAGACTTGGCTAACCTACCATCACTTCAGTCCACTCTGCTTTGTTGTTTATACCCTTGACTTGCTCAGCATGCCCTTGATTCAGGTAGGCGTATCGCTTTGGATCTTCAGAAATGCCAAACTGCTCTGTGTACATTTAGAAATGGTGGTAGTGAGAGGAAAAGGAGGACATGAACAACATATACACCGGCTGCGCTCATGAGATACTGAGCTCTGTGTTTAAATGCCATGCCCACCATATTTATTCCTTATGTGAGCGGGACAACAGCATGCCTGCGCTCAACGTGTGCATGAATACACTAGTAGCAACCAGGTTCCTGTATTCCAACACCCCTGTCCTGTATTCCAACACCCCTGTCCTGTATTCCAACACCCCTGTATAGAATGAGTTACTGTAGGTCTAACAAAGATTGAGGTGCTGTTGCAAAAAACAACGTGACAACCTGAACCACTGCGGAAACCCATGACCTCAGCAGCAGGTACAGAAACAGTAGCAGTGACAGCAACAGCAAGCACAACAGGAAAAAATAGCAACAGCAACATGGGGAGATGCTGCAATATTGAGGACCAGGAGCCATAATGATAGCTTGCATAGATCCCCGGTCCTACCGGGAGGACGTCATGCAAGCGCTATCATCAATGTAGCCGGGGGGGGGGGGGGGGAGTAGGGGCATCACCCCCGTGACCAAGTATACCAGAAGGATGCAACCAACATACAATCAACACTCACTGAGCTGGCCAGACGCACACAGTTGGTAGAAGATGTGGAAATTGCGCTCGCCTTCTGCTTGCCTGGTGACTCTAGCCTGCCCGAGCCAACACACACGATAGTAGGACCGCCCAATCCAATCAGCAAATCAAAGATGAACACATTGAGTATATGCATGTACATGTACATGTACGTGTGGCCGTTAGAGGTAGTCTTAATTCTGAATACCCATGCTGACGTGTGTGGTGGGTAGATGTACGCTGAATACCTATGCTGACGTGTGTGGTGGGTAGATGTACGCTGTGTGTGTGGTAATACACAGCCCAGGTACCCTGCTACACGCTGTAGTGACTGGCGCAGGCCTGGCAGGGCCTATCACTAGCTGATGAACAAGATACCAACGTGCGGCGGCATTGCAGCACTGTGTTGTAACCATGGATAGATACAAAGTATACACTGGGGACGCAACGCAGCATACACGTCTTCTAGTCATGCAAGTTACAAAGTGAAATCATGTTATGCTTGCTGGAGCAGGGGATAGCTGTTCCTTTGCTATTCCCTGAGATGTTTAGAATCTCTCGTTCAGTACAGGTATTGTACATGCACAGCCAGCCTGGGACTGGGAGGCGGCGTAGGTCTAACAAGTTAACAAGTTAGTACATTGTCTGTTACTACTAACGTAGTCAGCAGGCGCGTGCGCCGGTGCCCTTCAAGGGGGGGGGGTTGCGGGGGGCCTCCCCGGGAAATTTTTCAAAAAATGAAGCAAAATCCTGCATTTTGAGCGAGAAAAGGGGGTTCCGGGCACCCAGGAACCCATACGGGGCAAGCGCCTGGTCAGTGATTAGTGTGTGTACTAAGCAGACTTCTTCTGATCAAGTGCCCTGCACCCATGCTTCACTGGTTACAGGTTCACAACTCGTCTTCTCCTCAGATTTCAGATTTCTCACCTTTTCCAGTAGGTCTGGTATGTCCAATCATGGCCACGATCACAGTCAAGGCGAGAGTGGATAGGACAACCCAACATGTCGTGCATATACATGTACAGCAAAAGAGAACAGGTATTGCATGTGTGGACCATTGGCATCACACAACACTACCGTTGGAGAAAGTTTAGACGTAGCAGGAAATAAATGCTCAGAACATCATGTGCAATATTGATTTCACACGCCTGCAATTCAGATCATTCCATAATATGAAAAAAACCATAGACATTCTTTCATTCCTGTTTATCATTCGTGAAGGCTGAGACTCACATTGGCAATGGGTATTTGCGCTGTGGACATAAATACGCTCATCCAGGGCTTGTCCTGCGACATTGCTGCCATCCTAGCTAATCCTAGCGCTGAATTAATTTTTGTTGCATATTTCCTAGTAGTCCTATCCTGCCCTGTTAACTTCCTATCCTGCCCTGTTAACTTCCTATCCTGCCCTGTTAACTTCCTACCCTGCCCTGTTAACTTCCTATCCTGCCCTGTTAACTTCCTATCCTGCCCTGTTAACTTCCTATCCTGCCCTGTTAACTTCCTATCCTGCCCTGGTAACTTCCTATTCTGCCCTGTTAACTTCCTATCCTGCCCTGTTCAGGGCCGGAGGAAGGAGTTTGGGAGTGGTCCGGCGAACCTTTGAGGGGGGTCCAGGGGAGCTCCCCTGGAAGAAATATTTAAAATTTACGTGAAATAGAGCGAATTTGGGCATCTCTAGGGGCATGTTCCATTGGTAGGATCGGGATCCCGATCCACTGGATCCACTGGATTCGCACCCTTTCGATTGGTCGAATCTGGATCCGGATCCTTCGGATTTGGATCCGGTCAACCCACCTCGCGGAGCAGGGTTGACCGGATCCAACGAATCCAAATGTGACCTTTGTGCGTATGGCGGGTAAAAATCGTTTTTGTACACATTGTGGTACGCACACGTGGATCGAGATAGACCTTGCTGACTTTTTGTGCAACTGGCGCGGTGAGTACGACTTTTTATTACTTTCGTCAACATGGCAACAGTCGAGGCCCAAAAAAAGTGTCCAGTTGACTCTGCAGGATCCGACGGATCTGAGATCTGGATCCCGATCCTTACCAATCGAACATGCCCAAAGGCTCCAGAAAATGCAGAAAATTATAGTAAATGAACACAAACACAACTTTTTTTATCCATATCAGCCATACAGTGCCGGTCAAGGAGTCCTGAGCTACTTTCAAGCACATCACACGTCGGCAAATACAGTCGAGTCATGTACCTCTGGATTTTTTACACCGGTTTTGCACGAATCACATGGACCATCCAGCTGGGAAAGTGGTCCGGCCATGGCCGGACCAGCCTGACCGGTTCCGCCGGCCCTGCTGTTAACTTCCTATCCTGCCCTGTTAACTTCCTATCCTGCCCTGTTAACTTCCTATCCTGCCCTGTTAACTTCCTATCCTGCCCTGTTAACTTCCTATCCTGCCCTGTTAACTTCCTATCCTGCCCTGTTAACTTCCTATCCTGCCCTGTTAAGTTTGTTCGTCATCTTAATTCCTACTGTGAACCCCATTGACACAAAGCCCCCCCCCAACCAATAACCTCTCCTTTCCCATGTCCACTTCATTCCTGATGGTGGTCATAATTATGACCTTAATGTGAAGCCGGTGTAGTTATATCTGAAGAATGAAAAGCAGCTGTTAAGCATCGGCCAGTATTGCTGGCATGCTCAATATTTTATCCTTCTCGAGGACAAGACACCGAGGCATGAAGTGCCATTCAATATTTTACATAAGCTTCCTCCTCAAGGACAATGACGCCATGTATCCCAGCCTCCGATCCCTCAGCCACGTGGGAACTGCCATTCCACCGTTGCCATGGTTACCTGCCGAGACAACTACGTGCGAAGCCTATTGAATGATAGCATTGAGGACAAGTTCCAATGGAAGACTCTTTGATACCAGTACACTACGGCTTTTACAAGGAAAACCAACACACATTTCCAGCTGCCTCACATGTGGTAATGGTGCCACCGACTGGATGCCCGTGATAATCAAAGTTGATGTTCATGAACTTTCCCTGCAAAAAGAAACGCATTCACCCAAAAAGACAAAGCCAGTTCAAACCTGAAGACATAAGAGGCTTTTTAAGGGGGCAGACTGGTCGTAAAATCCCTGAAAAATCGAATTTGTGGATTCATGTCGAGTGCTACATCAGTTGAAAGAGCATGAATAGCTGCAAAATCTCTGAAAAATTTGTCTCGATCTGACCAGCCGTTCAAGAGTTATGGCCGAAAATGTGCCCTTGCAAGGAAAGATTTTTTGTTGCACGCCATCATTTTTTGGCAGCACTGTATTTGAATCTGAGCAGACCGTGCGCAACTTGTCGTATCATGGAAACACGCGAAAGTGTGCAGAATGTTGCTCAAGTCCAAAAAATCACGTTTTTTAGCCATGTATTGGGCTGCACGGCGGGACTTTTGCCAGCACCCTCTTGACGTTGCAGATATGTGGCTTGATTATTGTAGTTGACGTTGATTTAGTGACTTTGGCAAGTTTGAGTCGTGTCAAGAAGTCAGGTAGGATTCAGTACTAGGCAGTAGTGGAACGTGAGTAGTAGTCTTTGCCGATTTTTGAGGGTATCCTGGATTTGGTGTGCAACGCTGTGGAAATGGCTTGCTGTGGACGTCCCAGCACTGGATGTTGCATCAAAGGTACGACCTCGTAGCACGTGCTAAACCTAAAAAAATCAAAAATTGACTTCAATCTGTGGGAGTCTGTGAGAGAACGCCCACTCGTGCCGTTCTGACAGATTCCAGGGCCACGTTGAGGGGCCCTATCCCACCACCCATGGCTGCTTCTGGACTTGTTTTAGGTTTGGATCCCGCGCACGGACAGAATGGGCAAGAAAATGTGAAAAAATTGTAAATGCATTTTTTGGCTCCTGGGTGGCTCGCACACCGTGGCACTATGCCGGAATTTTGAGTTTTTCCGGCCTGGAAAGCCTGTCAGGAGGCGCAAGAACTTTTAAATCATGTCCAGAGGGCCAGCATCGTGGCAAGTGTGTGTGGTGAAAATTTCACTCGAGAAAGAAATCCACTGCCAATGCGGACAAAGCAAGAACTGAAGTCAGGAACAGTGGACTTCGGAGAACAATGAGCGTGTGAGAGTTTGTTGGGAACAGAGCATGCGCCTTCTGTGTTTTAACAAATTTTTGCGCGTGCGCAAAAATCATTTAAAAATATACAAATTTTCGGCAGCTATTTAATTTCGGCTATATTCGGCACCGACCCAAAACACCTAAATTAAAACGCCGATGAAATTTTTCACAGCATCTGTCGCACTATACCAATCCGGCATGCCCTCTACCCCACGCCGAAAATAAATCGCCGCCGAAATGTCAAAAATCGTGAAGTGCCGAAATTTTGCAGCGCCGAAATTTTGTATATTTACAGAATCCGATACATGTGCTCGTGTGTATGCATGTACAGTGAAACTGGGTATTCCTCCAAAATCTATCTCTCCTCATTGCCTGTGTAGGTGCTTTTCCTCAGCACACGCACAGTTTAACTTACAAAGCGACTGGAGTTGTCATTCCGGATGGTTTTGGCATTTCCGAAAGCTGTCCAAACAAGAATGATACAAACATATGCACACACACGCACACGCACGCATGCGTGCGTGTACACATACACACACACACACACACACACACACACACACACACACACGGCTTGGGATGGCAATGCATTGTTTTATCAATTTTGTAAAATTAGTACAGTAAAAACTTTTTTTCTTCACCAACATCAACTGTGCAGATAGGTGGTTGTACAAGTAACTTTTAAGCAGACAATTTATTATGCTAGACAGAGACTACTTGACACAGAGACCGATGCACATGATACCTTGTTTCTCACAAGAGAAAGTGAGTGATGAAACTACATATCAAGAGAGTCAGACCCTCACTATATATTATGCCAATGGGACGTTACAGTACATTCTGATGGCAATGCCGGGACGTTACAGTACATTCTGATGGCAATGCCGGGACGTTACAGTACATTCTGATGGCAATGCCGGGACGTTACAGTACATTCTGATGGCAATGCCGGGACGTTACAGTACATTCTGATGGCAATGCCGGGACGTTACAGTACATTCTGATGGCAATGCCGGGACGTTACAGTACATTCTGATGGCAATGCCGGGACATTACAGTACATTCTGATGGCAATGCCGGGACGTTACAGTACATTCTGATGGCAATGCCGGGACATTACAGTACATTCTGATGGCAATGCCGGGACATTACAGTACATTCTGATGGCAATGCCGGGACGTTACAGTACATTCTGATGGCAATGCCGGGACGTTACAGTAGATTCTGATCCGGGCGGGGAGAAACAATGTACAAGTGTTATACACTACATGCATGTGTGTTATATGCAAAGTCATTACTAGATCATCCTAGTTACTGTCCCCGGCTATGCAGACTACCCTCTGCATCCACAGCATGCTGGTATAGCTAAAGAGTTTAAAACAGACACATAGAGAGCACTAAAACAGGCAAAAGGATTTCACCTTCGAGCACAGGATTCGTTTTCAGCAGCTTTGTCTTGATGGCATCGCCCTCCTTGCCGCCCCCGCTGACGGCCGCGATGTACTGCATGATCTGCTTGCTTGCCTCTGTCTTGCCCGCACCACTCTCGCCGCTGATCACGACCACTTGCGAGCGAATGCGAAAGCACATGTCGCTGTAAGCAGAGTCGCTCACGGCAAATCTGAAGTGAAGAGAATGGTGGGCGGTTGACATTCAGAAAGGAAACGGATTCTAGAGACGTGCACCTTCCGTGCATCACTGTGATGGTAAGGGGCATGCTATGAATATTGAGTGGCAGGCATCTAATAGACATATACAGTATAGTATGTACTATACTAGGCAACTATGCCTGGCCCTGGGCTAAAACTGGGAAACGAGTGGGCTCACTCAAGTGATGTCCAGTCCCTGTAACACATTCATACGAGTAACTTGGCTAGGAACTACCTTGTACATTCTCTACCGCAACACAGCAGAGTATCTAGGTCCTGAGACAGTGTTTCAATGTCCTAGGCCGGGAAGAGCTTCAGTAGAAAGAATAGTCAAACATACCAACATACACTAGGGTTAACAAGGCTAGGGCTGCAACTTGGAGTTTTATGGCCAAAACCAACCGTCAGGCAGCGCAATACTGGCAACCGTGACTCTGTACATTCTCTGCAATGCTGTATTGCCTAGGTTGACAACACTGATCTCAGTACGGTATGACATTGAACAGTTGTGACAAGTGCAATCTAGATCGATATACACATGCAGTGACGATTACCACTCGACCTCAAGCCTGGGAAGAGATGAGTGAAACCAGTTTGTGGTGCTGAACGACACATGTACACTGGTCCAAATGTTCACTCGACACAACAGTTACTGTACTTGATGATCTGTTGTCAGGGGCGTTGCTGGTCCCCTTTTAGAGGGGGGGGGGGGGGGGGGGGGAGGTGCACGGCCGCATATACATGTACATGTATGTGCAGGATGGCTGGTGCATGTCATTCATGATTATTAGGTCGAAATTCTAGGGGGGGGGGGGGTGTGCATGTGCCCCCCCCCCCCCCCCCCCCGTGCCCCATGCAGGCGACACGCCTGGTTGTGTTTTAAAATTAATTCCCAGTGAGTAGGACTTACAAGTGCGGCGGTAGACTCATATCAAACACCTTGGCACCTTCCACAGAACACACGGGAGATCAGGCAAACAAGAATCATGTGATCACTGGGTCACTGAGGCCAGTGAGGGGTTGATGGTGAGTTGAGAGAAGTACATTCACATGCATGACCGGGTCGGTCCATGATTGCCGGTCACGACATACTAATACCAAAGTTATTGTGACCAACTGCAACCAACTAGAAACACTGTGTATTATCCCATTCTCTAGTACATGCACAGCTGTTTGACTGTTTGACTACACCTCTCTTACCGCGGTACTTGTTGATGGTGGCGCTGTCATAGATGCGCAGCTGCTTGTACGGGTTGACAGAGATGACTACACTGCCGATGTATGTCTGTTGACAAAGAAGGAACGGAGAAAGAGACGAAGAAGGTTTTCAAGACTGGAAGAGTAGATCGCCATTGTCATCCTATACGGGTAGATTTGACCTTTGGTATGTTTGACTTAACAAAGTACTTGAGAAGGTCCTGAGTGGAACCCAGCGACTGGTTGATTTTTTTTTGGATTATTAATTTTACTTATTTCGCCAATCCAATCGGGAACTTTCTTCCCAATAACAAGGTAGCGAAGAGGGAAGAAAAAAAGAGAAACAAAAGTACGTATAGAGGTTAGAGGTTATGTGAGTGATTTTTCAGCAAATTCGCTCATGGATGCTAAGTATACAGCGCGAGTCAGCTCATTCGCTCATGGGCGCTGTATTACTGAGTGCATGCAGTGTGAGTCGCTAGTGCTAGTGCCACGACTTTGCCCAAACACCTCAACTGATGATGTAATTGCATAATCTCTATGACCTTAGAGATTAGAGGGCCGCTCTCTGTAGGCTTAGGTGCAGGCATCCGACTTGATATCCCAATTGCGCAACTAACTTACTGGCCTACCCAATGAAAATACACTCCAAAGATTAGCATGCAGTCGCAGTAACTGTTCACCATCAACATTTTACTTTGGCCTAACACGTATCGCTTACTATGCTACACGACATCTATGCTTGCACAGAGCCAGTACTTGAAAACGCAAAAATGATGTTACATGACATACACACAATGTGGCGCAGTCATGTAATACTAATACTAATAGTAAAGTTATGGTAGTGCTGGCAAGCCTTACGTAAATGGCATCCTCCATGTAGCGATCTTTCAACACTTCCATGACTTCTTCTTGTGATATCTCATCTAACAAGACCAGATCGCGAATCTTGATAGCCGCTGGCTTTCCTGCGCTGCTGGACGTCGATGTTGGACGAGCCTGGAGCGACGTCAGGGACGGTTTGTAAGCCTGGACTCCCAGTGAAGTGGAGATTCGACGCAGCGAATTACGACGAATGTTGGCCAAGTCCGCTTTCTCCTGGCTTCCACCGCTTGTTGGTGAAGCAGGGCCAAAACCTGTAGATATGACGGATACTCTCTTGAGCGTGGACTTGGACATTTCGTCCACAGTGAGAAGATCTGCAAAGACCGCGTCATCTTCCTCCTCTTCCTCACGCGCTCGCTTCTTGTTCTTCTTCCTCCGAAACATTTCACGGCCTGTGTGTTCCGTTCGCTGCCTGCCGAATAACCGGTCAAATAGACACACACTCTCTTTCTCTCTCAAACCAGGCTGAAGCAGAGAAGCATGCAGCGATGAAATGCAGCGTCCACCCACACAAGGCCACAGTGCTTGGGAAAGCACGGACTTCAACGAGCGAGCACCTGCAGTCTTGTAAAATGAATTGCAGAGTTTCTTTGCGAAACGGGGTGGTGACTATTCACTGATGACTAGTGTCAGTGACAGACTCAGTGTGTGTACTGCTTTGTAGCCATATGCAGTGTGCCTGTCATTCTTTACCTGCCATCCCGTTGCCCAGGTCGAGCTAGGTCAGCTGAGCTGAAATCAGGCTGCAAACATGGTAAAGACGGAGTGTAAGGACTAGGCGCCGACTGCGAGCTCGCCAGAATAACTATCGTTTTCTAGATGGGACACCGCACAAAACGACATGCGTTCAACGATGTTGTTACGGCTCTCTGACACTGAGTGACAGTCCAGCAACTGCAAGGTCCTGTCCAGATTCTCTATCTCCCTCCAGTGCGAGACCTATGCTCCCTGCATGCCTGAAGACGACTGACAATGACACGTGCAGCAGTTGAACTAATACTTTCTTACTTGCAATCCATGGCACACCATCTTTTATTCTACTACAAGTATCACCACTACCATCAAGACGACCATGGCGCAGTGGGCATTGCTAGTCGCCGTGTCCATGGTGTCGGTCGGAAGATCTATAGTGTGAATCATGTCAGTACAGTTGAGTACAGAGTGCAGTGGCGTGAGCTCTGCGGCCCGTTCGACATCCTAGGCTAGTACACCTAGGCTACACCGGTCGGTAGACATCTCTCGCAGTGTGAATGTGAGCCGCGATGAGGAGTGTCCCAGGGTGGCTTTTTTTCTGCGACTGAAGCCTGAAGTGAAGGGCGACGATCTCGCGAGCGCACTACGTAGACAAGTAGCTGCATGCACTGAGATTCGTGGCCGAGCAAGTCGAACATAATAATAATAGTATTATGTTCTTGTAGACGTTCCAGACCAGACAGCACAGACGACATGCTCCCTAGGGGCTAACCACAAACCAAAATGAGGAACGGAAATGTGCCTGAACTGCTGAAGAGCAAGGGTTCCTGAGTGACCATGGTGACTGGTGCGATGACGGTACAATATCGTCATTATAACATCTACATGTATTCCAAAACGACCAAAAGCCTCCGCCATCAGAAGCTATCCAGTTCTTGCAACTGGAGAAACTGATCCAAGTAACTTAGTTTCTACTACATGTACACTGTACTCTCACAGTCATTTTCATATTAATTTAAATTTTATTATGACTTATAGTTGCCGAAGAAGAAGGAAAGTAATTCGCACCAAAAAAACTGGTGGGTAAAAAACCGTCTCGACTGTTTTTTAGGCAGTGACGGGTACGGAGAAAGTAAAAGGAGAAAAGAAAAAAAAAAAAGGGAAGCGACTGCCACTGTGGGCCAATGCCTGGGTTTGAGCAAAAACGGTGAATGCTAAAAAGCTCTTCAGAGCTGGAGCAGGCCAGTACTCAGCGTAGTGCAATATGGACGAGACTCTTGTAGTGAAGTTGTGGACGAGACTCTTGTAGTGAAGTTGTGGACGAAACTGTTGTAGTGAAGTTGTGTTGTGGCGTCGTGCAATTAATTAAACAGCAGCTAGGTGCAGCGAAAGCATACAGCGAATAGCAGCGCGCGGTGTTGTGGCTCTGTGCAATAGTAGCTCTATGCGGCGAAAGCATCTACAGATAGACTCGCTCCAGCGCGGCGCAGCACAAGCAAGTAGACTAGAAAGAAAAAAACGAACGAAAGCTCGACTTGGTTGGCGAACACCCACCCCCGGCCCTTTAGAAGCCGGTGTGGCGAGTTAAAACCAAGATTTGAAGGGTACCCAACTATCCTCGCTGGTTGGCTGTCCGCCAACCAAGTGCCAACAAACTGCCTCTCGTGGACTTTCAAAACAGTGGCCAGTCACGCCAAGCCTTCTCACGCCGCCTCAGCCAGATAACGTAGCTGGAATTATTTAGCGCTGCGCTTCTGCAGTTTCTTCTTAATTGGCGCTGTTTTTCCTTACAACAGCCCAATGCTCGTGCCAAACCGTCCAGGCTGCTGGAAATGGCTCCTCTAGCCCCCACCTCCGCTGTGAGGGCCTCGACTTCCCAGCCATTCTTCATACACTCCTGTTTGAGGTGGCGATACCGTGTCAGCTTCTTCTCCCTGGACTGGAGGATGTGGTCTTCGCTACACACCGTGAGTTCCAGCCAAAGCACCCTTCTCAATTTCTTGCGAGAAGAGAACTATGTCTGGACGACACGTGGTAGGTGCAATACAGTGTGGGAATACTAGCCTCTCGTCCAGATCTGAAAGAAGCTGCCAATCATGTGATCCCGACAAAAAACCATCGCTCAGACCTTTCCGCTGAGGTAACTCGCCACGGGGGATGTTTTGACCCGGTTTACAGAAGGTATGTACGGTTAGTGGGAGTTTGCTCGGTATTTGACGACGTTTGCTTTGCTGATACTACTTCTGTCATGAATTTACTGATTTGTTTGAGGACGTTGTCATGACGCCACGTGTACCTTCCTTGATGGAGTGAGGAAGGGCAGGCGGTGAGAATGTGCCTCAGTGTTGATGTTCGCTGACAAAAAGGGCAATTCTGGTCCACAACAGAGTTGCCCCATCGTCTCAGATTGTCGGGCGAAGGCAGAGTTCATTTGGAACGATATCGTCCTTCCATAGCCCTCGTATAAAAGTTTCCGCCATGTCATGTCCTCGAACATTGTGTCTGCCCATTTGGTCCAGGCCCCTTGCATTTGTAGGCCTTTTAGGTGCCGGAGCTGCTCCTGGCAGTCGCCTTCTCTGATTGTATTGAGGATTTGTTTCCTTGGTTTTACCACGGGTGCTTTTGGTGTCACGAAACCCAGTCCGGCTCTGGGCGGTCGCGAAGCAGGCGTTTCCGATACGGCCGTTTCGGCATATTCCAATTCCACAACCGGCGAGAACCTACGGGTGAACGTTTATTCTTGTTTTCTGTGATGGCAATACAGTTGAGCGATGTTGTGGTCTTTGCTGTGCTTGATAATGTGGCATTTAATAGCTTGCTGCTGTTTCCATAGTGTTGTGATACACGTGAGCCGGAGGCCTGGCCGTTCTCGATTTCCGGTGAAGAGGATGGCGGTGTTTGCAGCCTTGGGTAGGCCTGCCCACTTTTTAATAAAGGAAAGGCTGATGTGATGAAGCATTTTGGCAAAACTGTGACACAGGTCAAGTATCTCTAGGTGCCATGATATTTTCGGGATGATCAGATGTTGATAGAGCCAGAGTTTCTGGTGACCGACAAGGTGGGTTTCATGCACCAGTTTTAAGAGGTATCTAGTAAGGTCAACGAGATCTTTGCGTTGTTCCTCCTCTTTCATGTTATCCGTCCAATTTCTCCCCAGAAATTTAAATTGCCGACCATTTAGCGGCGGTACATCCTTGCCGGATATTGTAAAGCCGGGGTCGAAACAGGTGTACTTGTTGTTGATTAGTTTCGCCGCGTAGGTCCTGCATTTATTTGGGGCAGCTTTCATTTGAGACCAGGGCAAAAACTTGTCCACAACATCTAGTTTCTTTTGTGCGCCATGGGTTCTGTTACTAAAAACGGCTAAATCATCTGGGAAACCAGTGTTAGAAGCAGTGATATCCGTCTGCTTGAAATTGTATGAAAGTGCCTGTACTCTGTAGGGCCCGGTTTTGCCTGGAGGGCATCGAGGAGGACTTGGAAGGTGATATTGAACAGTACCGGGGACAGTGGGCATCCCTGAAACACGCCGATACTGTACCGGAACGTCCGGGTCTGGGGCTTTCGTACGGAAGCAGTGAGATGCTCGTAGTAAGAAAATACAAGTCTTCTGATTTTCAGTGGGATATGGTACCGATGTAATGCCCCTTGAATTGTGCTTTACTGATCCGAACGCGTTCTTTAGGTCTATCCACACAATCGCTATGGAGCGCTTGTTCCTCTTCGAGTCTTTCATGGCTTCGTTACACAGAGTAGCATGTTCCACACCGCCCGACATTCCTGGCAGGAAACCTTTCTGTGTCATGCCCTCAAAGTACTCATTCACCAACATATGGCGAGTTAGTATCTTGGACAGCATGGCAAAGAAGATCTTACCATCGCAGTTGGAGAGAGCAATTGGTCGGAACTTTGCTGGATCTGACACATTGTCACTTTTAGCAATAAGTGTAACCGAGGCGCACTGCCAAGATCGCGGGATGACACCAGTCTTCCAAACTGTTTCGAAGATGCTGAAAAGGATTTTGTGCAGGCATTTGCATCGCTTCCAGATAATGTACGGAATGCCGTTTGAACCAGGAGCTGACTTGTTCCTGCATTTTCTTAGGGTATTTTGAAACAGGGTCCATGTTGGACTCCCGTCAGTTAACGGAGTGGATGGTTTGCCCGTGGCTGGAGAAAAATCCGGCAGGGAGAAAGTTTGACCACGTTCCGGGTCTTCATACAACTTGGAGAAGTAATCAAAACAAGTCTGTTCTGAGAATTCAGGATTGACGGGCGTTCCTTTCCGAGGTAGCCGTTTGGCGAACTAATTACTTATGGGGGTCTCGGAGGAAAGCAGAGCGTTGCTTTTGTGCTTCGCGATCCTGCTCGTGTGTTTTGATGATTTTCCGCAGTTTTTTGATGTTCTTCTGCACCCGGTTATAATCTTTTCTGAGGATCTCAACCACATGCTCGTCTAATAATTACCATGCTTACTGCATGCAGAGCCATGATTGGCATGAATCTATTACTGTCTGATCTACCACAGGCGGCAGTGTAGACTGTAGTGGAGGCCATAGCCAGTCATTGTAGGGTGACCCTGACCGAGTCTGATAATGACCATCTAGTAGTAGTACTGACATCGCAGTTTGTCTGTGTCTGCAGACTTGTACTTGTAGACCGTAGCTGGTCTACTGTCTGTACAGTATGACTGTGGTCTAGCCGTTGGACGCGTTGGTCTGATTGGCAGTGTTGTGTACGGGACCGGATTCTTCCACCGATGTAATAGCAGTCGACAGACTATGTTTGCTGGTGGTCTAGCACTAGTAGCAGCGATATTACAATGTAATGTCATTGCGAAGTCTACAACACAATTGTTGACTTACACACACACGTAGTAACTGTTGCACGTGCACTTGCCCTCAACTGGTCCAAGAAGATGAAGTAAGACGAGAGTAAATCAGTTGAGAGTCTGCCTCGCGCCATTGATGTTTCCTGATCGCCCCCGCCGGGTGTGAACGATTCGTCAGACGTGTAATCATGTCCTGATGGAATGCGTTTGGGACGGTGTGGAATCCACCTAACTAGCTGAGTAAGCAAGTATTAGCTCACACTGGCCATCTTGGTCTTCCATCGTTCTTGCTTCGTGGTGTGAGGTGAGCCAAGTCGAGGAGAACGAAGGTTACCGAGGACGAGGGGGCTTGGCTGGCTATCCTCGACCCTGTTGTAGATCAGCTATGTCCACCTTGCCGCCCCTTGGTGGATCAAACGGTGCAACGGTGAGCAAAACAGGCCTGGAAATCAGCACAACTAATGGCAGTAGACGACCTCGCACCGGTCGTCAGAGGACCGCACAGGGTATGAAGAATAGCGTTGGAAACTCGCGAGAGCTCTTTGACAGCCTGCAGCGCAGCAGGCAAGTCGAATCTGAGCTGCGAGCACAGATACAGAAGGTAATGAATCGAGACCGAGGGTTCTTTCAAATATTTATTATGACTGTGTGCTCTTAGTCAGTTGGTGAGATTCTGTTAATGTTACTGATCCCATGATGGTATTCCATAGGGCTAGACGAAGAGTCTACTCTGATATGAACGCTGTGTCACCACAAGTAACCATAATAATTATAACAACGTCTTTACAATGGCTGCCAGTAGTTGTATGAGCGGCGACTGTAGGCCATAGTCGTTGGCAACACAACAGTACCATTGGGTGCTTTAAATGCCAACCGAACACTGCGAAGAGCACTGGCAATGCACCAGAGGACTCTTAGGGCAAACACATGCATGTGGTTCATAGTCTGGCACAACGGACAGGAGGTGTTAAAGACGTCTTGTTGCAATGACTTCAAGCTAGCGAAGGTTAACAGTAAGTGGATAGCCAATTCCTTGAGTCTGTGTTGGTTATCTGACCGTGGTGGTGGTGGTGGTGGTGTGTTGCGCAATGCCTAGCTACGGGAAGAGTCACGCACGCTGCGTACCAGACTGGATGACTTGCGTAAGGCCAAGATGCAGACCATTGTCAAGCGAGAGCAGGTCGAGGACGACGGGCAACGACGAGAAGGAGCTTGCAAGTGCGAGACCCTGGTGGAAGATATGAGGAGGAAGGTGAGTGGCTGTAGAAGCATAAGTACATGTATGTATAAGAATGTCCTTAGACAATGGTGGGGATGCCGGTCATGTGCATGCATCTATGGTGCTGATCAATGAAATCCTCATGATCACCGGGTAGCCAAGTACGCACCGCATGCCATGTAGCTTCAGTCGCTGCACCTGCCCTGTTATGTGTGTGGCTTGCTTGCATCTGTGTGCCATATACACGTCGTTAGTCCCAAGCGCGGAGCCAATTCCCTTCACCATATTACGCAATGGCCAGGGCATGCACTGCACATGGCAACCGTACATGGCAAAATTGACTGTGCACGCCATGACCTGGCATGACCTGTACCGTAAAGTACCGCCAGAGCGCCCCACCATCTCGTCCTTTCGTGGTCGTATTGTGGAGGTGGTCTCCTGTCTGTAAGGTCATACGACACGAACTTCGTACACATATTGCAAGTTGTGCAGACAATCCGTACCTTAGAGCGGACACGAGCTCCACCCAAAACCTGCTTATTGTGACCTTAGCACACTAAGGTTCTCACACCGTACAAACTTCGCTGCATTTTGCCATACGATTTTCCTTTCCCTGGCTGTAAAATCAAGGTGGGCCGCTCTGGCGAGACGAGGCGCTCTGGCGGTACTTTACAGTGCTAGAGCTGCTGTAGATGTGTACCGCACATCATCATCAGCGGACAGCGGTATATTTGCTGTACTTCCCCAACTTAAACTTGTGATGTTTGCTTCCTGCTGCCGTCACTTCCAACCTATTGCCAGAGCCTTTTCCCGTGATACAATTTCTTCTTTTCCAGCTACGAAACAGGGAGGAAGAATGGTGCAGGAGAACTGAGGATATGGAGCGACTTCACCAAGAGGAAGTGAGTTCTGTCCGGTTGGAGGCCAGACGAGCAAGACCAAAGGTACACGCATGTTTTAGAATCTTCCGAATTGGCGCATTTTACACAACTATGTGTGTACGTGCACGTATGTGTGTGTGTGTGTGTGTGTGTGTGTGTGTGTGTGTGTGTGTGTGTGTGTGTGTGTGTGTGTGTGTGTGTGTGTGTGTGTGTGTGTGTGTGTGTGTGTGTGTGTGTGTGTGTGTGTGTGTGTGTGTGTGTGTGTGTGTGTGTGTGTGTGTGTGTGTGTGTGTGTGTGTGTGTGTGTGTGTGTGTGTGTGTGTGTGTGTGTGTGTGTGTGTGTGTGTGTGTGTGTGTGTGTGTGTGTGTGTGTGTGTGTGTGTGTGTGTGTGTGTGTGTGTGTGTGTGTGTGTGTGTGTGTGTGTGTGTGTGTGTGTGTGTGTGTGTGTGTGTGTGTGTGTGTGTGTGTGTGTGTGTGTGTGTGTGTGTGTGTGTGTGTGTGTGTGTGTGTGTGTGTGTGTGTGTGTGTGTGTGTGTGTGTGTGTGTGACCTGTATATGGAGGAATGTGTGGAGTGACGAATACACATGTACTTTGAATTACAATGCACTGGTCTCTGGATCTTATTTTGAACAGCTAGTGCACGAAACAGGAGGTACCTTTGGATGTGTACCTGTATCATTGATTGCTTTGGAAGAACAGCCATGCATGCAGCGGAGGCTTTCCCGCAACGTGCACGCATACACGTAGAGTGGCATTGAGTGCACTGCTAGCTGCCATGCATGTTCTACTGCAGACTGCAAGTCGGGAGCTGCTTGAGGTGGCACAGGCCGAGGTTACCCGTCTCCGCGGCATCGTGGCCGACCTCCAAGCCAAGCTCCGCTGCCAGCCCAAACCTGCGGACGAACCCTTTACCAGCATGAAGAATGAAGTCGCACGTCGCCTCAATGATCTAGCGGGGCAAGTGCAACAGGAAGAGAAGAAGTTCAAGGAACGTGAAATTCTGGTATGGTGCTGCTTATAGCTAATCACAATACTCACATTGTGGACTGCATTATACATGAGAAAACTACTTCAAGAAGTACTGATTATACATGAGAAAACTACTTCAAGAAGTACTGATTATACATGTACATGAGAAAACTACTTCAAGAAGTACTGAACTACAATCTACTGCAGCTTCCAAACACAGTGTCACAAAAGCGCCTTTACTCCTGATTTTAAAAACAACACCAATGTGCAGGATAATTGGTTCTTGATAGCCGAAGTTCTTTAAAACAAAAAAAATGCAATTACACCATACACGCAACATGCGCACCATGGCTGTATGAGTGCACTTGGCTAACATGATCCCCTCCAGAATATGGTTCGTTTTAAATGAAAATAGTTCGCTGCAATGGGTTAATTGTGATATGGACAATGGTTTGCTATATTATAAGGGGAAATCCCTGCATGCGAGTTCCTCATACAGTGGAGTTGACTGTATGCATTTCTGTTGTTGTCGGTGGTGGTTGTGTTGTTGGTATCACTGTTATTGCTGTTAAGCTTCGAGAGGAGTTGGAGGCTCGGTGCAAAGCATCACACCAGCTATGGATGGCGGATGCAAAGGAAGCACTGACAATGCTGTCCAGAGAGAACAAGGAGCTGTACGTGCACTTACATAATTATATGTGAATACTACAGAGAGCGGAGTCCTCCGGTTCAATAGAGTGCTCAATGCGGAAGCAGAGCAGTAACACACGAGTCATAGAGTACCACACGTCTGGATTGTTGTAACTAATAGGTTCATGCCAGATGGCAATCTTCAGACAACTGATAACAGTGATGCACAGCTTGTATGGTATTTTATACACTGGCATAGGAAGGAATCTGTGAAGGTTTGAGGTCTGGTGGGTGCAAAAGTACTGGAGGGAAAATGTGCCAAACTTCCATAGTCCGCGAGTGAGAAAAGAAATATGATATGGCAGGAAGGCCAGCAAGGCTGCGTGAAAGAATGATAATGTGGCTTGCCTGCAATCACAATCATGCAGGTGCAAGATGCCGCACACTTTGGTAAGCGCTTCAAATGCTTTGGAGGATGGGAGATACTTGCCCTTCAATGTACCAACAAACAGGTGCAAGGTGCAAATTTCCACGCGCTGTGATGGCTATAGGTGCTTAGAATAGTTGAGGAAAATGAAAGGAAATGACCATGATGACGCGACGTCATGACGTCAAGCGAGGCTATATGCAAGATACTACACCCATAATTAGAATTCTAGAAGGGCTGCAGACGGCTGCAGACGGGTGCAAGTGGCTGTCGCGCGTCATGTGGTTGCAAGTCACGTGACTCCGTACCTACCAAGCAGGAACTTGGCAGAGTGCCTACACTTTGACACGAGCTCCGTTCGCTTGTTGAGGGAGGTGCTGCGATCGGATAAGCGCTTACCAAAGTGTACCAGAAGTACGGAGAGAGGAAGGGTAGAAATAAATAAGCAAATCAACCTCAGGGCTACACCAAAGCAAAAACGGAATGGGAACATACTATATACAAAATAGCTTCATACATATATTGCAAAACACGTTTACTATTCTTCAGTCCACTATACCACAGAGACACACTAGCCGAAAAGCATTTAAACGGAGCCATGATGCGCTTTTAGCAGGGCACAGAACTGAAGGTGGCTGGGCTCGGAACGGAGATCAGGTGGGAGCTGGTTCCACAGGACTGCGCCGATGAACTGCATGGTCGCTCGACCCGCAGGATCGGGCCAAAATGGTACTCGAACGAGGTGATGTGCTGCTCCCCGAGTGCGGTCACCAGTAACTCTCACGAAGAAGCTGGTGAAGACGGAGCTAGCTCGGGAGAACAGACAACGATGGACAAAGATGAGGAGCGGCTTAATGTTAAACATGTCCTCCAGGGTGGTGAGGCGGAGCTGTTCAAAGATCGGGCTCATGCGCGACCACGGTGGAAGACCGAAGAAGCCGCGGATAGCGCACTTCGTTAGACGTGTGAGGGGCTCCATGTTGCTGAAGTGACGGATAAAAGGCGTTGGAAGCGTACGACAACCTACCCTGGATCATCGACTTGTAAAACAGGATCTTTGACGCCAGGGTGAGGCTTCGGTGGCTCCGCCACAGCGCACCTACTGACTTCCGCACCTGCTGGATTGTGTGATTGACGTGAGTTACAACAATCCAGTCGCGTGGTACTCTGTGACTCATATGTGAATACTATGTGTAATGCCGCTATGCGTTGGAGTACATATATGTAGGCCTAGAGTACTGCCAGGCGCTGAAGAACGACCAGGCTAGAATTTACCAAGCACAGCATACACGGCGTACTCAACTGTGCATAGGTTGTAAATTGCATATGCATCAACCTTGAGCTTCGAAATTGCCTTTCACGGTACAGACTTTTATTGAGTTGGTGAACTTTCACAACTACATTTACCAGTACAGTACATGTAACAAGAACATTACACCAGGCAAACATTTCAAGTGCATGCTACACGGCGGAAGACACACTTTTGTGTCCATTTTCAGTGTTCACACCCTGGCTCAAAGGGAAGTACATGTACAGAGTGAGTCAAGTACGTGCTGGGTGCGGTGCAGACCTAGAGGCTAGAGCGGTGGACTGGCACAAGTAAAACATCCTAATCTACTGGCTGCAACTCACATGCACGACCTTTACTTTCACCGAATATACCGTAGTGTTATTATTATAACCTACTCTTGCCAACATGCATGAAATTATGACTCGAGAGGGACAAGTTTAGCACCCGCTGGATAGATGTCCATGTATTTGAGCTGTGAGTACTTTGGCCAGTGGTGGGGTTTATTTTGTGCAGGTGTGCACTACAGCCTACAGGCACATGCAGCACCCCAATCACTACTAAACAGGCCTGGCTAGCTCAGGCGGTAGAGCATGCAGGGCCGTGGGTTCGAGCCCCACGTTGGATACCAATGTTGCAAAAGAACAATCCACGAGCGGGATTCGAACCCAGCACCCCCGTCTTTCCTGGACAGTGCCCTGCCGATCAGGCTACCAGGGATCACACACATTCGCGACTCCTTCTCGCTACACTCCCCTACGTATCGTCGAGCACGTCCTAGTAGTCAACACTACAATGTAACACAATTGTATACGCGCCTGTTTTCTCTCTTTCTCCAGAAAACAGTGTGTTGAAAAGCAACGCAAGCAGCTGGGCCAGCTTGGTGTTCTCATTGTTGTCCACGAACAGTCTGAAGGCTAGAACAGCAGCCCACAAGGACAAGACATGAACTGGTAGTGCTGCCTGACAAGATTTCTGGGAAATCCTTTCGCAAGCTCACAAGGACAATCCGACTGGAAGGTAACACTACTCCTTCGACGACTGGCTTACCGAACATGCATAGCACATTCACATTCTCATAATTAACTTATATTCTCATATTATTGCACTTGATCCAGCTATAGATTCTGCGCATATATACCGCCGCCGCAAAAGCCATCCACTAGATATTTATTTATTTCATGGCTTCTCGACTTGAATACTATTAGCAAGATACTAATTCATGTCTAGTTAAGGAGGCTCCAACCTTCTGCGCTGCGCAGCCGGTCTGGCGCTCTGTTTTTTGCAGGCAAAAGTCTTGTTTTTGCCGATAAGTGCGAAAAGTTGGGAAATTCCCATCTCAACTTACTAAAATTTGAACTCCGCGATCGACAGTCTTATCAGAGAATATTGTTTCATTCTTCACCTGTGGTCTTCCCTGGGCCCCATCGAGGTTCCTGTTGTTTTTTCCTCCGTTGTGTCAGTGGGTATCAGGGCATGTTTTCAAAAGCATCGCTGGTGTGAGCAAGAAGTCGACTTTACAGCTCGATTTCTCGAGATCCTGAATAATTTTGCTTGACGAAAAAATGAACAAGGAGAACGGAGCCAAGCTTCTCGATGGCTGTGTAACACCATGTACCAGGCCAGGGACCAAAACCTACTGTAAGCGCGTTTTGGAGAGAGAGACTGAAGTGGGTGCACAGACTCTGGTAAGTGGACCCACTTCTAATTCTCAAGTGGCGAAATATATTGCCACGCTGAAAACATTGCAGTCTTGAGTGAGTGGTAAATCGTTGGTGAGCTACTGCTCAGTGACTTGGGCTATTTACGAAAGCTGTGACAGTGTCAGCTGCCAACGTCGCCAGCAGTAAGTCATCGATGCATCACCTGCGTCCACTTGAATAAAATGCAGCACTGAAAATTGAGTATGTTGTTTTGCAGTACTATTCTCTATTGTCAGTGTGTGAAGTATTTTGTAAATGTTGTGTTGTACAGCACCAGTGATTTGAAAATATTCCTACACTACTCGCACCAGTTCTATTATGATGAATGCATGCACCTCTACCCATAAGCACTATGTGCATGCACATACGCAGGCACGCGTGTGAGCCTAAATGTTGTTTGTGTGTGTGCGCGCGCGCGCAGTGCATGTTGTGTGTGCGCGCGCACGCGTGCACAAGTGCATGGACAGCAGAATATGGTAACTAAGCTCAAGAGCATGCATTTTGCATGTGGGTGTATGCTATTGCGGGTGCGCGTATATGACGTACGTGTATTTGTGTGTGCAAGGGGTACTTGTTTGTGAGCATGTGCATGTAAGCGTACATGTATGTATCAATGTGTGTAATGCGCATGCACCCACATACACTTGTGGTTGTTCCATGTTATTGGGAATAGTGTATGATTATACCTAATGGGTGCTACAATTACTAGCAGTCGTTCATTGCCAATATTGAGTTGAACCTGCATCTACATTGTACATGTACTACAAACATGAAACTGCCCCCCCCCCCCCCCAGAATATAATAATAATTGTTATCCTCCTCAAGCTCTTTGCCTGTTGCTTTATGAGAAATACTAGGAGTGAACTATTGCAGGAGTTGTGATGCAAAGCTGGTCTGAACTGTGCTCAGGGTCAGTAGGCCTCGGCCTGGATCATGAATAACGTTGTGCATGGATCATGCCGATATCCAGATCAAGGGCTAAAAAGCCCAGGAACCATGGCCTCATCTAGTCTCCATGTATACTATAACAAGCTGGGGGACAATTCAATGCTTTTGACACAAAAATTGGAGTAATACCACAAGGAATGCATAGAATGATCACCTTTCCTGAAAAATAGCAATTCCAAGAATGGTGGAAAATCGGCCAATTTTCTGTCCTATTTTTATTTTTGGAGGTCTAAAATGCACGGTAACCCCTCTAAAATTATATATTTCTAGTTTCTATGAAGTATGAGGATCCCAAAAATAAAATAAAAAGGGCATGTCCATGAAGAAAATATGAAGCTGTGCACCCAATTGTACTTTGCGGACGGGCATTTCTGCGAAGTTCATTTTTGTACCAAAATTACTATTTTTCTGAGTAGTCAATGCTGATTGCCAGATTTTCTTGCTCAAATGCTTCACTGTGATGTGTGAAAGGACTTGCAATCACAAAGAGAAGCCAGGCAACTGGTAAATCTGAAATATGACCCCAAAACAAGCAAATTTAGGCTGAAATCGATAAATACACCCACCCCTAGAAATACACCTCAAACATCCTTATCTCCGCGGAAACACCCCCTGAATTTTTTTGTGGAGTAACATGGGATGATATAGAGCACACTCATCCACAAAAAGGAGAGGGTTTATGAAGAAAAAAAATCACCCCCAAAGGGTTGGAGCCTCCTTAATTGAGAGCGAAACACAAACATTGGACACACATGAGGATTGTGTTTGAACTTTGAAGACAGCTCCATGAAACTAGGAGTGTTAGTCGAGCTATCATGAGTACATGGGTGTGGCAAGTTTGATCGTTTCACATTTTATTGATTCCCACGTGGCAATGTTGAGATGAAAACTTGGTCCGGGTTTCAAAAGGGGTCTTGCTCTCTTTACGTCATGCTGTACAATAAATACAGAAAAACAGGAAAACACAGAAACACACTTGCCACTTTCCCTTCAATCTTGGAATACACCATACGCAAGTGAAACAGGCATATCATCTGTCTGGTTTGAAACAGCAGGGGACACTGTACTCTGACGACGCTTGATGCCAATGGTGTATTGGACGGGACTTTTCGGAAGCAAACAGGTGATATTCAGCACACGAACAAAACTGTACATGTCAACGTACGGGGAAATACTTAGAAGTCTTCATGCAATCACCACAAGACTGAACAGGACTGAGAAGAATCTGTACGTCCTCACAAAAGTCACATGCTGTTGGTCGTATTTTTTTATTTAACGGAGAAGGCGGAGAGTACGAATGTACCGGTTACAAAAGTCACATCATATAATGCTGACATGCAGGGCGATGAGCAAGCTCGTGATGATGGCAAAGCTTTGTTTGCTATTTACAAAGCAACAACAACAACAACAACAACAACAACAACAACAACAACAACAGCAGCAACTATCGTGAGAACAAAGCTTTGAAACAACAGATGTGTTACCTGTCAACAAGCGACTGATGCATGGATGAAGCGATGGCCGATGGCTGATGGCCACCCAGCTTAAAGATATTCTCCACGACCGAGATCTCGGTACTCGTGGTGTCTAGGCCAGCGAAGGCACACCAGTCGTTCACGACAAGTCCAGCGCCGATCACATCACTACCACGATTTACTGTACCAGCCTGGACAAATATCGGTATGAAGACAACAATCAGAAACTGTTAGAGAGCGACATACGCACAGCACAGGATACAACCTAACAGGCTAGAAATGACCGCAAGGACAATAATCAGGATCACATCAATTGGCACGCGAGAAATGAACGATCCCACATGGGTTACCAATACGGAGTGTTAGCAGGAACACTACATGTGTAGAGAAGTAAAGATAGAGCCGTCAACCACTATACTACATCCTGTATCTGGCGAGTCTGCAAGTCTGTTTGCCCTGGTCTATGCTATTCTACAAGGATGAGTGGATGGAATGCATGGAGAAGAAGAACCAAGAACATCACACTTTTGCTTCAACATCAAAGTTCAAAGTGGGAATACATAGAAGAAGCCTCACCACAAGTGGAACTTGAAGCAGTGACGACAATTCGTCCAAGCTCTCAACCTTAGTCTGAGGGTGGACGAGCCCTCCCTGGTTAGTAAATGCACTGTAAGAGCCGACAAGTGCGTTGTCCGCTACTGTTTGCCGGAACACCTCTACTTTTAGTGTGTCTGCGATTATCTCCTCACTCTCCTGTACAGCAATTTCACACACATACACACACACACATACACGCATCCACACACACACATACACACACACACACACACACACATACACACACACACATACATGCATACACACGCAAGAAGTTGGACTCTACTATAAAGTTGCGGCAAGCGTGCGGTGAGAGGCACCCGACCACAACAGAAGTATAAATCGGACTTGCGCAGAGTGCTGCAGTTACTACAAAACCTATACAAAAATGGCACGCACGCTATTGTCGCATTTTAACCCTTTGGAGTCCATGGTTCGATTTCGAACCATGGGCATTTTGGATGCATGTGGGCGCAGTCAAACTTTCGGTTCTCGGCCAAATCTTGACCAAATTCAACAATCGAAGGGTCTAGATGGTAGAGAAAACTCTCAGCTATCGCCTCCAACTGGTTCGAAGTCTCTGTGATGAAGTTTGAGTGAGCGGCGTGCGATCAAACATTTCGAATTTTCTGCGCTGCGTGCTGCGAGTCACCAGTGCGTGAAAAAAGGGATTTTCCCAGCTTTATGACAGGCGGCACGTGCCAGGACCGGCGCGGCGCGAAGTCACGGCAAGGTAAGCTTCTACTCGAAAAGGTTTGAACAGTTCTGAGCTAGATTCAGTGAAATGGCTACAGGAGACCGATTTCGTCTCAGATCTGGAGCTGGACTTGCGTTTGGGGCGCGTTGTGGCGAACAATGAACAGTGCTCTTGGCGAGTTTGGGCTCATTGTATTTCTCTCATGAAGAGCTTTCCAACGAGCCCAAGATCTTCAAAATCGGTGAAGTAGAACCAAAGTTATGTTGGAAATGGAGTGCGCATTTTCGTGACTGCCACAAATTCTGCGGAAGCAAAAAGTTACGGACTCCAAAGGGTTAAACTACCTGCTGCTATACAGTACACACTCTAGTAAAGAAGAAAAAATGCTGCAAGAAATATTTTAAAAGTCATTCCATATATCCCTGGGTAGCAGCAAGATGATAGACCAGCTCAAAGACTCGTGTTCAAACTAGCACTTACCCGGTCCAAGTCGGGATGTACGAGCGCTACATAGTCGTTGCATGCGACCACATTGCCAAGAGCCGATAGCCTCTCGTCGATACGGCGAACGACTACGGAATCGGGCAGGCAGTTACGGACATGCTGCAGCTCCTGTAAATGGCAGCAGGAGCAAGCAGGAAAAACAATGTCTACGTGCTCACCACATCAACATCTAATGGGCAGCACCAAGCTGGTTTCGATCCAAATGTGCCGTGAACAATTCTGGACAGCGCTATCCGGACAGGACTCCATTAGAGAATAGGGTTGGATCTATTAGTCTAAAGACCGATTCATACTTCATTTCGCGTACGGGAAACGCGTCGCGAAAAAGTTGATCTGAGCTCAACTATTTCGCGTACGGGGAAGCCATGGCGCGACGGTCGCGCGATGACTTTCCCGTACGCGAAATGAAGTAAGAATCGGCCTTAAGTCCTCTTTAATTTTGACAGGTAAAGCAACGCAAGGGACACTAGCAGCCAAGTAATTTCTCCAAAAAAATTGGCCGGCATTGAGGAACAAGAATACCGTATTTTTCCGGTTGTAAGTCGACCTTTTACCAATAAAAATTGTAGGAGAAAGGGTGGGGGTCGACTTACAACCGGGATTCGACTTATAACCGGGAACTATCAGAATCTTACAAAAAATGACCTGTCCTGCATACATGAGTGCACCATGTGTACACAGGTTTGAAAGTTTATTGGCCTTTTTCAAGGATTGGGACGTTATACCCTCCAATAAGGAATGTTTACATGATTTGTTGATGTGTTAGTAGCAGGGAGTGGTTGGTAGTGCTTCGTTGGGTGAAAATTTTTAAACGCAGAATTGAGACCTCCGGATACGGGGGTCGACCTATAACCGGGGTCGACTTACAACCGGTAAAATACGGTATGTACTAAACACTAGGCAATGGTCTTTTTCAACCTTGTCAGTTCTGCTCTGCATTGCTGCTGCTTGGTAAGGGCCTAATCAACGGTGCTGCTTTCCACCAGTTGACGGGTTGCATTACAGGGCATTATACATGGATGTGGCAAATGGGATCGAGGCCTTTGGCCTCTGGTTGGTGGATTTGATCTATCCTCCCCCACCGTTTAGGAGCCGTATCTGACGCCTGATCATGGGGTGGTGGCGTCCAACGGAAGCGGAAAGGTGGTTCTTGACCAGGGAGTTATACGACTCCTTGTTCTTGACCTGCCCGGAACGCGAACCCCGTCGAATTTATTTTATTTATTTATTATTACAGGGCATTGGCTACTTCTCTGGAAAGGAGACCAGCTAGTACTATCAAAAACAAGAAATTTCCTCAGAGGCATAAATCCAGAATGCAGCTAGGAAAATAATTATTCACCTGGTCAGTAGTGGAGCTTGGGCACAGAAGGCCATTACGATTACCTGCAAAATGGAATTGAACAAAAAAAAAACAGCAGAAACTTGAGCATTGAACAGAGAGGGAAGATGCAAAGCAGCGCTGCAATACTACGACATTCAGAATGACAGTGTATGTTGGAAGACGTACTACTATGCCTATTCTGTATACTGTAAACCCGGAAACGTTTGCGCCCGTTTCAGTTCGCGAGTTTTGAACATAGACAACTTGGCACCTGAAGATGTTTGCGATTGGAGTCATCTCCCTCAGTTTCTCTACTACAGTTCTACATTTCACGATTTCACACCCATCGCGAAAACAGCAAAGTATTCCGGATCGTAAAGGTTGCCGGGTTTACAATACACATGGCATGCTTACACAATCTGGCTGGATTGCGTAAATTTGTCCCCAGAAAGGTAAAGTCATCAATCCTTAAACACCCAGCATGATGATTGCAAAGTGGGAATTTTCGCAGGTGGTCTCGTGCCACAGCATTCCATCGCCATCCTGCTGAGGAGACTAATGTTGATTCAATACATAGGGGTAGTCAGTGTGACGTCACAACCACTTAAAACAGTACTAAACCGTGCGAAAATTACGACTCGTCTTGGATTGTGATTTCGTATGGGCTGACACATGTACGAAGCAGTCTGTTCCATGCAAGGAATAGAGGAAGGTGATACAGTGGTCCGGATAGGGCCATGGGGTGAAAACCCCAGTGTTCATACAACAATTTAGCATGCGTGAGAGTCCTGGAGCACTTATCTAGGTTTGTGCTACCCAAACCTAGTACAATAGTGGCAGATCAGTGGGACATCGTCAAGTTACGACGTGTGACAGAATCACCGACCAGCCCTATGGAAAACCTGTGACTCACCTGCAGTAAGCCGCCCAATGATACGGCATCCAGCAATGGATGTGTGAACAACTGGAATTACATCAGCAAGTTCTGTCTCGAATACACTGCATAAAGACAGACATAACACACAGCAGATAGTGAGCTAAGCAGCCAACCAGGACAGATCTGCTTGTCCTCACACATGTACAAATAATCCACCAGCATTCAAAGCAAGTGTCCAGCGACATTATCGGTTACCACATGCAAAGTCTGACCCAAAGTCGCTGATGACATAAAGAAGACTTAAATCATGGTATGCGCACATGCAATGTTTCGTAGCGACATCAATTAACAAATACAAATTCAATTAACAAATACAAATTGTTCATTGAGGAAAAAGAAATCAACACCTTCGTCACCTCAAACTCAAGTTTGAGCCGACCACTGTCCACCCTAATCTTATCATTACAAGGAGAACTAGAAGTCGCCCATCTTCAACTTCAACCCAACGACGATAAAATGAAAATGGGAACCAGAAGCAGAGAGTAGTCCTTGATCAGAAGTGACGTTTTTACCTGTAGAAGTTTTCTGATCCACCGATGGCCACAAGGCAATACGCATTCGTTAGCTTCGCAAACACTCCAATATCACTACTGTGCTCATATTGAGCACGGACAGCCATTATGAAAACAAGAACAGGAAGAAACTAGAAACCAAAGGGAAGGAGAAGAAACTGTGTTGCAAAAAGAATCAGACAAGAGAACGAACGCCTTTGTTGATGACAATAATTTTGTCCGTGTATTTATTGCGCTGTCTGCTGCGCGTGCATCATGTCATGACGCCATTTTTTCGTGTTCAGCCTTGCAAGAAAATGATGCAAGCCCAAGCATTACGTCACCGTGATGCAGTGTTCCAAAATATGCATGCACACGTGACCCGCGATTGCGTGGTTGCGACGTCGCGTGCCAGCCTAGCGCCTGGCAAGCGCACCTCAGCATGCATACATTCATAGTCAGTAGATCTACTCCGAATCAGGCTCCGGACAGCTGGAGTAGCAGCAGGAGTTCATAACCCCCTGGGGTAATGAACTCTTGGTAGCAGTGTGGTCGGAAACACTTTCCCACTATCTCGAGTCCATCATGAACTATCATAATATTATTATATGTGTATTGTTGTTGCACGTTGATTCATCATGGCAGCTGAAGGAGAACAACCCTGAGCCTGTGGAGGTGTTGGCAAAAGCCAGAGAGTTACCTCACACTCACGGTTAGCTTCAATTCAGGAGTCGCTCTAATCTGCTGCAAGTTTTCTGAACTGGCTGACCACAATAGCTGCTTTTAAAAGTAAACGGGCCAAACAATGAAAAACGCTGGCAATAGACAATCATAATAAGTATTATGATTCCCTTTCCCTGAGCCCTAGCGGCCAAACATGACAACGAGCGGATATGTAGTTCTGACCGCCCCGCTCTGTACCGACTCCACACAGTGTACGTCGCTACAAATCAGACATTTGTCCTTGGCACGACAAAACCTTTCTGTATGTGCGGCTTGTTTTAGAGCTCTGCCCGCAGTACCTGTGTCACTCAAACTCATCTTCTTCATCCCGGAGGCCCAGACATGAGAGCGAGGATACACTGATTCAAGTCAGTGCTCTGCGAAGCTCAGAGTCATCACTCAAAACAGAAATCTGTGCTTGGTGCGCGGCATATCCAAAAATGAGAATAAAGTAACAAAATTGTATTCAGTTCAAGAGGATTATCGATTGGAAACACAACCAGCTTGCAACCAGCTTACACATGTAGGCCGTGAGCCGCTTGGCTCGCGACAGACCGGCACCAAAACAAAACAGTGCATTGTGTAGATTGTGGCTGTACATGTGCATGGTGCGGAACTTGAAGCATTCAGCACTCACCGGGCTGGCTGGTACCGATATACTAGTACTGGTAATGATGCAATTTGGCTGATTCGAATTGCCCGGATCGGAATGCGGTATTCTAGCAGGCAGATTGAGATGGGCCACAGTGCCGGTGCATTTATACCTTGAACATAGCACAAGATTGGCATTGCTAGCTTGTCAAGGCCAAGCATCAGCAGATGTATACACTGTACACTGTAGTGGTACTATGAATGGAAACAATGTAGGAACTCCGACACCGGGATTGCCAGCTGCAATGGCTTGCCATCAAAGCAGCCACTGGTTGGCCAGGGGAACTGAGGACAAGTCACTCTGGGCCAAGGCAAAGAATTAGCCACTGATGATTAAGGGCAGGGAGTAGCCACTGGTAGCCAAGGGCCGGGACGGAGCAGCCATCCAGGTGGCCAGCATTGGGGCGGGTAGACTCGGGGGAGGGATACGCAACGTATGTTCTAGTTAGTGTCCGGCTGTCGGATATAGCATGATTGGGAACTCGTGTGTCTGGAAATTTATTAGTAGAATGTGAATGCAGTGTCCGCAAAGTGTGAATACGGTGTCGGCAAATGTGAATACCGTGATGGCAAATGCGAATATAGTGTTCGGAAATGGAAATATAGTGCTCGCAAATGTAAATACAATTGTGCAGCATCGCTGTACATGTGTACAGGGGCAGCAAACACAGTTACAGGGTTACTCTTCAGATGCTGAAAGCAGATGATCCAAGAGCAGTGGCTCTCTGAGCTTCGTTTCCCGCACCGTGTCATCATTGCCCCACTGACTGGTACGCTGCATACACAAAATGGGAACAACAGAGGCGGCGGCAGTGAATACCACATGTATGTTTGTTGCCGAGTCAGACACGGCCATTCAGTCTAGTGCAAATCAGTCACCATGGTCACGTAGCTGCACCGTGAATGGGAGTGTATGTGCCGCACTCTGCTAGGTGCCAAGTTGTACTGTGTAGTACAGGTTCCACAAGTCATGGCATAAGCTGGGGCTTGCAAGACGTTGGTGTACTATGCTACCACCTACACACATTTCAACTACCCCCCCTCCCCCACCCCCCCCCCCCGCCATATGAGGCATGACACTCAGAGTACAGGCAGACCTCGCTTATCCGATCCCCTTTTATCCGGATCCCTCGTCGTTCAGAGGAAATCATTGGTTACCGATTTACAGCATATGTCATGCAGCGAGGTCTGACTGTAGCAGCGAGGTCTGACTGTAGCAGCGAGGTCTGACTGTAGCAGCTAACTAGCCCTGTTCTTTGTCGTTCTAAGTGCACATTTCAACAGCGTATTCGGGCAACGGTGCCACCTCTTGGTGGCTCTTCCCCACCTCTTTCAGCTGTGTATTGTTGTTGTTGTTGTTGTTGTTGTTGTTTGGCTTTATTTAAAGTGGAGTTCCAAAACAGGCCTAAACCTAATGACAATGGTCCCACTGATAATAAGAGAAAAGAAAAATATATAATAATAAGCGGACAAACAGAACCAAGAAGAGGATACAGCTGTAGTTAGATAACTAATATGAGCACGGCAGCAGGGGAAAAAAAGTCACAAGCACGGCAACCGGGAAGAAAGGAGTGAGTGAGTGAGAGAGAGAGAGAGAGAGAGAGAGAGAGAGAGAGAGAGAGAGAGAGAGAGAGAGAGAGAGAGAGAGAGAGAGGAGAGAGAGAGAAGTAGTGAAGCAGATGAGTTCATCCTAGTTGACGGTACTGCCTAACAGAAAGGCCAGGCTTAGCGATTTGAAAGTGGAGCGCTTTCTTTCGAGGCGTGCTGTGTCTGGGAGCTGGTTCCACAGGATAGCTCCAGCATGGCTAATGCGCTTAGCTGAGGATGCAGTGGGGGAGACAGGAATGATGAGTAACTTGCTGCTCCCTCCTCGTGTTCGGAGAGAGGGACTACGGGTGAAAAAGCTTGCAAACAGAGTACTTGAAGATTTGTTCAGGCAGCGCCAAATGAATACAAGAATGTGCATGTGGGTGTATATGCTGAGGGTATGGGCATTCATGCGTTCAAGTAAGGGAGCCGTGTGAGTGCGAGGGGCTGCCCTGCACACCGAGCGAGCCGCACGTTTGAACAAACTATTTAGGCGCTTATCCTGATAAGACGATAAGAAAGGGGCATAGGCAGCAGATGCATAGTCAAATTCTGATAGTATAAAGGACCTGAAAAACTGAACACGGCAAGAAAAAGGCAAACATGCTGCACTTCGATTTAGTAGCCCAATCTTAGCGGCAACGCGGCGTGCAACATGGCTTGTCATGGTGTTCCAGCTCATGTCTGAGTCGAAATGTAGGCCAAGATACTTGGCCGTTTTCACAACAGGCAGCGTCTGCCCATTACAAATGACATGCAGCTCAAGTGCTTGAGATGGGGATGGGGGAATAGGCAATATCTGTGTCTTTCTTTCATTAAGAATTAAACCACGGCCCTTCAGCCAGGTGGCCAGGTGCTGAATGTTATGGATTGCATGCATGTTATGTGCAACGTCACAGTCCTAGATTACATGCATGCTATGTGTGACGTCATTATCAGATTATCTTAGCTACTGTTACCATGCGCGTAGTTACTGTTGCCATGCGCGTAGTTACTGTTGCTATGCAGCACTCACTGTATCTAGAGTGTGCGCATGTGTGTAATGTGCTTCTCCTGGGATCCATCTTGGCTTCCTGTGCTGCATGTCTTTCCTCTCTGGTTTTACCTTTACTTCCATGTTCCCTTTCAATGCAATGTATTTCTAAACTCTCCGAGCCGTGTGTATCAGTGGAACTGTGTATGAGTAGTGTGCGGGCTGAATGCGAACCACAACAATTGGCGACGAAGATAAACTGCAGGCCGCGATTTAAGTTGAACGATGGCTGATTCCGGAGATGAAAAGCCATTGAAGCGTCTCGATGTCACCGGTCCTGCCCATGTCGTGGCAGAGCGCTGGCGGAAATGGAAGAGATCTTTCTCGTATTATGTCGTAGGGAAGGGCATAACGGACAAGACTCGGGCTAAGGCCTTACTTCTGCATTTCGGCGGAGAAGGAATTCAAGACATATACGATACCTTGGAGTCGTCCATAGACCAAACTGCTGGAGACGCGCTGAAGGCGCTGACAGACGCTTTGGATGGACATTTTGCCGTCACTGCCAACGAGCCCTACGAGCGGCACATTTTCCGACAGATGGCCCAGAAAGAGAAAGAGACTGTGGCCCAGTTCGTAACTCGACTCAGGAATCAAGCGAAATTTTGTAATTTCACTGACGAAGAAGACCAAATCCGAGATCAACTGATCCAAGCCATGTCGGACCCGAAGCTGCGCCAGAAACTCCTGGAGGAGAAGAATATCAAACTGAAAGATGCCCTGGTGAAAGCCAGACAGCGGGAACTGGCGACTGTGCAAGCACGGAGCATGGACAGCTCTGCAGAATCGTCCATTCATCAGCAACGATCGTCGTCGTCAGGACCTCACGCGCACTCGTCAGGCAGACATCGTCACTCTGGTGCGGGACCACGTGGAGGTGGTACACAGACTCAGTCAGCAACGAGGAATGCTGACTCGGAGTGTTTTTCGTGTGGCCGGAAAGGTCATTTCTCACGTAGCCCTGAGTGTCCAGCACGCGGAAAAAAATGTTCAAACTGTGGGAAAGTTGGACATTTTGCTGTTGTCTGTCGGTCGCAGAGGAAGAAGGACAAGGGAGGACAGCAGCGCAGAGTGCATGATTTGTCTGCTGACGCAGAGCAACAGGACAAGAGCAAGCAGAGCGCCAGTGAACCAGCCAGCAACTCCTACTCGTGCGAAATGTACAATGTCGGCCGAGTGGGTAGTAGCTCAAACAAACCAGTGTTCGTCGATCTGGAGATAAATGGAGATCATCTTCTCATGGAGCTCGACACAGGAGCTGAGCACACCGTCATTCCGGAGAAGCTGTGGCAAGCTAAGTGGTCAGATGTGTCGTTGTGTAAATCGGATATTCGTTTGTGTGCATTTGGTGGAACTGACATTCCTGTTCTTGGTGAAGCCCGTGTTAGTGTGAAGTGTAATGCACAGGTCGTTGAGTGTTCTCTACTCGTTGTAAAAGAGGGCTCTTGTGCACTGCTGGGTAGAGATTGGTTGAGACATATTCGTCTCGATTGGCAAGCCATTTCAGCGTCTTTGCACACAGTCGATCAGCAGCCAGAGTCTGCAGAAGTGTTTAGTGAGTTTTCAGACGTGTTTTCTGACACTCTTGGCTGCATTTCTGAACACATAGCAGAAATTCGTTTGCGAGATGGGGCTGTGCCCCGATGTATCCCTGCACGTCCGGTACCGTATGCGTTACGTACCCAGGTAGATCGTGAACTTGATCGTCTAGAGCGTGAGGGCATTATTAAGAAGGTGGAGGCTGCAGAGTGGTCTTCACCAGTTGTAGTTGTACGCAAGCGCAATGGAGACATTCGTTTGTGCGCGGATTTCAAAGTATCCATCAACAAACACATTGATCCACAGCAGTACCCCATACCAAATCCCACAGATCTGTTGTCGTCTCTGGGTGGGGGCAGAGTTTTTTCTAAACTGGATTTACGGCAAGCGTACGCGCAGCTGAAGCTCAGCGCGGAAAGCCAGAAGCTATGTGTCATCTCGACACATCGTGGTTTGTATGCGTATACAAGGTTGCCATTTGGTGTCTCCAGTGCCCCGTCGATTTGGCAGCGCGTCATCGAACAAATCGTACAGGGTCTTGATGGTGTATCTGTATATTTCGATGACTTACTTATTGCTGCAGGTTCACGGCGAGATCATGACATCCGCCTGAGGCGAGTTTTAGCCCGTTTCCGGAGGTATGGCATTCGTGTTAGTAGGGAAAAGTGTGTTTTCCTACAGGACAGTGTTCAGTATCTCGGGTATACCGTTTCTAAGAGCGGCATAGCCCCGAACGACGACAAGGTGAGAGCTATCTCTGCTGCTCCACCGCCGCACGATGTCGCTTCGTTACAGTCATTTCTTGGCATGGTAAATTTCTATTGTCGTTTCGTACCGAGCCTGTCTACCATGTTGCATCCTTTGCATTGTCTGCTGAAGAAAGGAACTGTTTGGTTATGGTCGGCTGAGTGCCAGAGTGCTTTCGATAGTGTGAAAGATGCATTGACCTCATCTCCTATCCTAACACATTATCAGAATGACCTGCCTGTCGTGCTAGAAGTTGATGCATCTCCGTACGGAATTGGAGGTTGCCTATTTCACATTGATGAGCAGGGTGAGAAAAAGCCAATCTATTTTGTATCTCGTGCACTCACCGCTGCCGAAAAGAACTACAGCCAAATAGACCGCGAGGGTCTCGCTATTGTATTCTCTATCAAGCGCCTCCATCAGTTTCTGTATGGTCGTCATTTTGTGTTGCGTACTGACCATAAGCCGTTATTACGTATTCTGGGTGCTAATGTTGGCATTGGTAGCACTGTTGCTGCTCGTTTGCAACGCTGGGCTGTGTTTCTTGCCAGCTATGATTACAGTATTGAGCATGTGAAGGGTACTGACAATGTGACTGCTGACTGTTTGTCTCGTCTACCCCAGCCTTTGTCGGCAGAGCAGGAGTCTGTCCTCATTCATGCTATGAACGAATTTACCGCCGATCCATGTGGTGACATTCCTCTGTCTGCACCAGAGGTCGCCAAGGCAACTCAAGGTGATGAGGTATTGTCGGATGTGATGCGATTTCTCAGATTTGGTTGGCCTAGTGATGTAGCAGAACGTTTCGTACCGTACAGCCGCATTAGGGATGAATTGTCCATTGAACAAGGCTGTTTGCTCTGGAAAAGCCGTGTAATCATTCCCAGTACATTTCGACAAGCTCTCCTGCGGGAATTACATTCTGTGCACCTTGGCGTAAACAGAATGAAGTCAGTTGCCCGCTCATTCTTTTACTGGCCTAAGTTGGACTCTGATATTGCTGATTTGTGTGCATCGTGTGAGCTGTGTCAGCAATTTGCTCGAGCTCCCTCTAAGGAGGCTACACACCCGTGGGTTTACCCCAGCCGAGCTTTTGAGCGTGTGCATATTGATTTTGCCGAATTTGAGCACCGTTTCTTCTTTGTTGTCGTGGATGCCTACTCAAAATGGGTCGAAGTATTTGATATGGGCCGTGATTCCACTACGTCTAAGACAATTTCTTGCTTGATGAAATTGATTTCCCACTTTGGTATCCCAAAGTTTATTGTGAGCGATAATGGGCCTCAGTTCACGTCCCACGAGTTTGCGTCATTCTGTTCACAAAATGGCATCATTCACAAGCTCACGCCTCCCTACCATCCAGCATCTAACGGTCAGGCTGAGCGCATAGTCCAAGAGCTAAAAAAATCGTTGAAGACACGTCCGCCCACTGTCTCGATTGCTGCTCAGTTGTGTCGTTTTTTGTTTGCCTATCGTACTACTCCGCATAGTACCACGCGAGTTTCCCCTGCTGATTTGGTATTGCGATTCACCCCGACGTCCCGTTTTTCCATGTTGCAGCCATCCTTTGGTGACACGATGCGTCAGCCAACGATGTCTTCTGGTCCGCCGTCTCGTGGTTTTGTTTCCGGCGATCGAGTTTGGTTCCTGAATCCTGTGCCCCGTGGTGGTCCAAAGTGGCTGAAGGGTGTGGTCCTGAAGCGCTTTGGCCCCCTGACCTACTCCGTTGAGTATGATGGTCGACAACGTACTATACACGTTGAGCATTTGCGCGCGTGCCAGTCGGATGGTACTTCTGTTTGTGTCGACACGTTTCCGTCGACTTCTCCACAAGTTCCAGACACGGCTCCTGTGCCTGTGTTGCCTCCGCAGCAGCCATCCTCTCCGGTACTGCCTGTTCCTTCGTCACAACCTACTAGTCCAGTTGCAGTTTCGAGTCCTCAGCCGTCTCTTCCGTCATCTAGTACTGCTGTGCCTAGTCCAGCGTCACCAGCTGCTAGCCCCTGTCCGCCTCTTCGTCGTTCTGGCCGTGAGCGTGCTGCTCCGAAGCGCCTGATTGAAGAGATGTAGACTCTTCTTTGTACTGTGCAACTTTGCTGTTTACACAGGTTTACACTGTTCCTATTCCTTGAATATGTGACGGTTTGCTCTCAGTTTTTCTCGTTTTCTTTATTCTATCGTTTTCGGTTTTCCTTGGTCAAATGTGGATACTCCCCATTTCTCATTTTAGGGGGGAGGAGTGTTATGGATTGCATGCATGTTATGTGCAACGTCACAGTCCTAGATTACATGCATGCTATGTGTGACGTCATTATCAGATTATCTTAGCTACTGTTACCATGCGCGTAGTTACTGTTGCCATGCGCGTAGTTACTGTTGCTATGCAGCACTCACTGTATCTAGAGTGTGCGCATGTGTGTAATGTGCTTCTCCTGGGATCCATCTTGGCTTCCTGTGCTGCATGTCTTTCCTCTCTGGTTTTACCTTTACTTCCATGTTCCCTTTCAATGCAATGTATTTCTAAACTCTCCGAGCCGTGTGTATCAGTGGAACTGTGTATGAGTAGTGTGCGGGCTGAATGCGAACCACAACACTGAACAGCAGCTGAAAGGTGTGCAGAAACAGCTTCCGCAGACTCCCTGCTACATCGTATAGAGATGTCATCAGCAAACTGGATTGCTCCTACATTAAACGGCGATAGTTCTTCTGCTATGCCGTGGGCATAGACAATAAATAGCAGTGGGCCCAGTACCGACCCCTGGGGGACACCTGAGTAACTGGTGTACGGGAGACTTCTAGTCTGGCCAACCTGAACGTACTGTTCTCTATCAGAGAGGTAATCCACCAGCCAACAGAGTGCCGTGTCGCAGATGCCAAGTTCGAACAGATCTTGCACAAGAGTTTGATGTTTCACTTTATCGAATGCCTTTGACATATCAACAAAGGCTACACCTGTGTTGAGTTTGTTCATACGGGCCTCACAGATACCTTCCACAGCTAGCACTAGTGCGTCGGATGTAGAGTGGTGGGATCTGTAGCCGAATTGAGTTGGCGGGAATAAATTGCTCTGGACTAGATATCGTGTGAGTTGCTCGTGGACTATCCTTTCCAACACTTTGGATGCAATCGATAACAAGGACACTGGTCGATGATTCTTTGGCATGCTCGGATCTCCGCCTTTGAAGAGTGGCGATATCCTAGCACTTTTCATCTGGGCAGGAAATATGCCCTCTCTCAGGGACTTGTTAAAGATCAAAGTCAGGGATGGCGCCAGTACGTCTGCATGTGCGCGGAGAAGGGCTGCAGAAATGTCATCATCACCGCTGGACTTGGCCGGATTTAAACGTTCGAGGAGCTTCCTCACTCTGGCAATAGACACTGGCGCAAAGGCTGTCAGATCAGTGCTTGAGGCGGGCCCGTAGGGAAATGAGAGATGCACTGGGCGGCTGGCGTCCTCTACTATCTCTGCAAAGGTGTTTCGGATGGCATCAACAGAACATTGAGGTGGCTGAGATTGTCGATGTTTACCACTCAATTCTTTGATCGTGTGCCATGTCTGTTTGGTATTGCCAGACGCAGCTCGAAACTTGGATTGGTAGTAGGTCTCTTTCTGTTGCCTATTATCGCTGGTAGCTTCCCGCCTGGCAGCCTTGAAAGCTGAGTGGGAATGTTCTGTTCCATCACTAAGCCACCTCCTATGGAGCCGGTTGCGCTTGGTCAAGAGGTGTAATAACTGGTGGTTCATCCATGGTACTGATTTTTTCTTGCGTCGAGGGCTTGGTGCAAGAGGAGCATGTCTGTCTAACACTTGTAGAAAGCGGCTGGCCCACTCAGTCCACATGACAGTTGGGCTTCTGTCAATTTCACAAAAATCCTGTTGGACCAAATCTGCCTTGAACTGGTCATGATTTATGTTTCGGTAGTGTCGCCGTAGCCCAGAAGTTACAGTACTTCTTACTGGGCTGAGTTGAAATTCACTGAGAACTGCTGCATGGTCACTGAACGCGATGGGGATAACAGTAGCCATATTTAGAGGGTCGAATGTATTGTAAAATTGATCCAGTGTGGTTGGTGCAGAGTTTGCTGAGAACCGAGTCGGCTGGTGAACTCCGGGATAAAAACTGTAGCTGGCCACGAGGTCAGATAGATAATGAAGCTGTGGATCTGGAGGTGCTGTTGGATTGGTGTTTATGTTGATGTCACCACAAATAATCACGTTCTTCCCGGGCATTATAGCTGAATGGAGATGGTCGTCCAGGCAGTCCCAGTATCGAACTGGCTCAGATGGAGGTCGATAAATGGTTCCTATCAAACAAGTTCCAGATTGGCAATGGATTTCTCCCCAGCAGCTCTCAATTGCCGATTCTGTGAGGTCCATTCTTGGCTTGACCAGGAGGGATGCCTTGGAGTACAGGCAGACTCCTCCACCGGCCTGATCTTTTCTGTCTGAGCGCAGTATGTTGAAGCCATCCAAAGCTATCTCTCCATCAGACACGGTGTCGTCTAGCCAGGTCTCGTTTACACAGATGATGTCAGGACTGTGAAGGTCGGCAAGCCATGCCAGCTCTCCAACTTTGTTCCTCAGGCTCCTAATGTTCAGCAGTAAAATTCGAATTGTTGGAGTTTGCGTTTGCATATTCAGTTCATGAGCAGCAGGGTCGTTGCCTAATCTTCTTCCAGTCATTGCACAGATATATTATCCACATCCTGACTTAGAGATGCAAATGCGTTGCCAACAGTGACACTAAACTTCGCAGCTTGCGTCTCGGGCGGCGAGTCACGCTGATAGCCCCGTGATTTCTGGCCTGGAGTCCCGGCCGGTGCTCCACAGGTGTCATCTAGGATATCGCAATCCACGCCGTATCCGCTCTTACTGTCGTCCGTGCGGCTGCTGCTGCTGTTGGTGGTTGTGGTGCTGCTCTGCGCTGTTTGTTGATCTCCACTGGCATCAGACTGGGTGTACTTATCGAAGTTCCACTCTCTTGTGTACACAGTATTCAGACTATTAGTAGTAGCCGGAAGAGTAGATAAGCTCCCAAGAGTGCAACTCTGCATATGAGGTCTGCGAGGGCGAAAACTCACATCACTTGTTCCGAGTACGGTTTTTAATACGTACAATGAAGGTTAGCGTGCGCGCAATCCGACTATCTGCCATACTCATGCTAGGGAGTTGGATAAAGCGGAGTGAGTTTCTGGCGGGGAGTGCTAATTTAGCACTCAGCTGCTTCCTAAAAACGGTCTGGAAACATACAACGAGAACGCTGCACCGTGTGATGTGAGTGTCGCCATTGGCGTACCCCATAGAGAGGGTATCAGGAGTTCCACACTCTTGGGAGCTTATCATACTCTTGGTAGCACTGGCCCTGTGAACCTGCCGGGATATTATAGCAGGGCCAGGGGACTGGCTTCCGTTCAGAAAACTTCTTCAAACTTTGTGTGGATGTTGATACAGCAGTGTTCTCTATGAAGCTACATTTGAGCATAGCAGAAAACATAATCAAGAGAATATTATTCCCGTAGCTATGCAGAAGACGTTACTTCAGTAACGTCTGGCGCTAGCCAGGGTCCACACAGCTTTAATTTGGTATTTGTGTGTTTGTTTGTTTGTTTGTTTGTGTCACGCCTGGCGCTATTCCGTATCTGTCCCGTACCGTACCGTACCATCAAACACAGCTGGCCACATACAGCTGGCCGCAATATTCAAATAGGGCTTTCAAACTCAAGATCATAACGTGAAGCAACTTGGAAGAATGGGTATGAATGCGAAGTGTATGGGGGAATGCATGTGGGGCGGTAGTGCGGGTTCGAATCCCAGGATATGCCTGAAAAAAAAAAGGAGAATTGAAAAATTTATAACATTCCTATGCTTTTTTTGCCGTCATCAAGGCGGTAGACGGTGTCGTATTACTCTCGATCGTACCTGTCCTGTACCTATCCCGTACCGTACTGTACCATCAAAGACGGCTGGCCACAATGCATATTCAAATAGGGCTTTCAAATGCAAGATCATAACGTGAAGCAACTTGGAAGAATTAGTATGTATGCGAAGTGTATCGGGGGATGCATGCAGGGCGCGCGATAGTGCGGGTTCGAATCCCAGGTTATGTCTTAAAAAAAAGCAATTTTTTAAAGAATTTATAACATCCCTATGCTTTTTTTGTCTAGGTCATCAAGGCAAAAAAGCATAGCGTAGGGCCCTGAGCTTCCAAGCTCTCTCGTTATCTTGGAATGCACGATGCACTCCACCTTAGTCGTACATACAATTGTTCATGAATCTGCCCAGTCCACATCCCCTCTCCGTTTTTCTTTCCTTCCAGTTGCATCTTCCTTTCTGATCTGCTTTACCTTTCTCTTTTCGTTCGTCCCTCTTAATAGTTGCACTTTGTACCGTTGAGGCAACGAACTGAAAAAATAAAAACCAAACCCGGGCAACCAAACCAAACCAACCATGCATGGTGCTGCTCAATGAAACCCACTGATTGCGTGAGTCACCCGGCGCAGCGCGCTGTCCAGCCCCAGACCTGCGCACACTGGGATGTGTACTGGCGCACGACACGGCAAACTTGACAATCGCAGCACAATCGGATCATAAAAAGAATTTCATTGAGCAGCACCGCACATGCACAACTATGTACTGGACGTGTGGATTCCTTCCACACAGGAAATATGTTGCACATGCAATGGGCATCATGTGCAGAATCGTGCATACTTATCGTACTTTCTTTGGTTTAAATCAACTGCGTTTGCCCGATATCAATTTCAAACTCCGGGCTTCAACTATAGTAATCAGGGATTTATCTGTGGCCGCAGTGGCAGTGGTGCACCGAACACATTGCAGTGTGCCTGTTCGGTGTGATGTCTGCAACGATCTGCAGTCACACTTGCTATTGCTGTTGCTTTGTATTATAGTCAAATGGTCAATAAGCCGAACCAATGTCATGGCTAGACGTATAGATACGAAACATCGCAATGTTCGTATTGTATGGAAGTTACCAACGCCGGCCCGCACTCACCTGCCTCACTGGTACCTCATGACCCTGGTGGGGGGAATGAAGTCGACAGGCCGCCGCATTACCGGCTATGGCACTACCAGCTATGGCGCGTGGACTGGCAGCACACTGGTGTGACTGGTTGTGAGGAGTGCTGTCGGCGGTGGTGGCAATGCTGCTGATGCCGGCCCTCTGGTAGCCCTGCTCAGCTCCAATGAAGGTCTCAGAGTCGGGCTCCACTTGTGGCGAGTCACCACCATCATCATCATCATCAGTCCAGAGCGAGCGCAGGCACTGGCGAGGCTGCTTACTAAGTGTATGCCACCAACTGGTGATGAAGCAATGCAGATAGAGTGCAAGCAGGATCAAAGTTACCGTACCAAAGAGGCTCACCGGCAGAACGTACGACGGGCCGAATAAATGAGGGGACACCATATGTTCTCGCCGAGCGATCTCAAGGCCACAAGATATACACAATATGAACAGCATCACAAACATGATGACGTTGTCGGAATTCTTCAGCTTCCATAGCGTGGCTGTTCTTCGAAAAGGCCTGTACATGTGGAAGCAAACATGAAGACATGCATTTTGCTATGGTATGCCTGTCCTGATTTGGTAAAACCTGGCCAAATTTCTAACTCCTTCTTCTTGACTTTTGCATTCTCTTGTGAGGCCAGAAAGAATTATTGCACAGGCAATGTCATAAGGGATAGTTGCTTAAACTGTGTCAGCAAACATGCGGCCACAAGTCGATCGTTCCGTTTGCTTTGTGCACCCGGGGCGCTGCATTCATTTGTGGCAACAGTAGAATAAAAAAAATGGGTGAACTGTTTGTTTCCCCTATAATTTTCCTGTAGTGTAATGAGTAGCATCATGACAGAACTCTATCCCTAGGCATAGCATTGTCTGTCTCCTGGTTTCTCCTTTCTACTCCCTACACTCACTCGCATTGATCTAACGTGCGTACGTGTGTAAGAACCGCACCCTGCCTGCTGTACCATAGACTCATGCATTCATGTACCGCTGTACTTGCTGGCTGCGCATCACTAACCCTTCCCCTTCTATGGCACAGTCCCCGCACTGAATGCAGTACTCGGGTGCGCGTGCGTATTCATGTCTGAGTGCACTGCCCTCGGGCTCCATCTATACATGGCATCCCGTACTGGGCACGCTGCTTCCGGTCGCTGTTGTGTGCACGCAGCGCCGTAGTCTATTCCGCTCTCTGTCTTCTCTACACAGTGATTCCTGTGTAGAGCACTCTTCGTTTCTGCTCTCCTTACAGTTAGTTGTGCTTTTCCGTGTCCGATAATGTTCCCCCTTTTGCAATAAACAGTCAGGCGAAACTACTCTAAGCAGCTACCGCTACATCGTCAGGCGAAATAGCACGTCATAGTACATTTGAGATCAGCGGGAAGAAGATGAAGACGTCCACTAATTTAGTATCTGTGCACACAAATCTGCTGTGTGTGTGACTCTGTGTGTCAGCTATGATATCATCTTCTGTGGTTCCATGCCTAGCATGTACGTCTGAACCATCCTGCAAAGTTTGAATGACGTAGGTTGAGCGATCGCTCCGCGAAACATACTTTTTGAAATTCTCTTCATAGTATATCTTCCACCATTGAAATTTCGAATTTCTTCAAAAAAAGTGATGAGAGGGGTGGCTTGCAACCTCGATATGGCTTGTTCCAGGCATGCTTTGGAGCCATCTTCTGTTGAAGTAGTGGCGGGGATCTGCCCTGCAACTGCTACAACAAAAAATGATTCGATCTGAGAAAGGGTGAGACCGCGAATCTCCGTTGAATATTGAGTATTTCAAGCCTTTTCACGACGAAGATGGAGTTCTTTTTGGAGATGGACGTCGCGGCAAAGGACATGGTGTCCGACTTCTGGCGTCTGGTGAAGCCAGGGATCATTTGTCCAGTCAGGTCGGCAGCCTAACTGTCGGTAAGCTTGTGTTTGGATCCCGTTCTGCTCGATGTGGTAGATCACAAACAATTTGATATCGCACAAATTGATCTCAGCATCGTGCGTACGGTATTTTATATTCAGAAAATCCCAAAGTGTCTCTGTGTGGCTGTCCTATGCCACGAGAAACTCCAATCAGGCTCCTATGTCCTCTGCCTTCATGATTGAATGTCCACTTCGTTTGAACAACGAACACAACAATCGAGGACGGCTTTGCAATGAAAAATACAGCTATACTGGAGCTGAAAAAAGAAAGAAAAAAACGTGCTCAGGATGAGACTCAAGTACACGCATACTCTCCCAGCAGGTGAAACGCATTTTTTTGTGAAAAATGCGTGACGCCGACTGACCAGTAATTTCGCCTGACGTTCCCTGGCTAGAACCCTGCACCATCAGGGCCGGAGGCAGCTTCCGCGGAGTGGTGCGGCCGAAGGGCCATATTTAAGGGGGGTCTGGAGGTCCTCCCCGAGAATTTTTTTGGAATTTAGACGGCAAATCCTGCACTCTGGGCGACTCCCTGTACAAAATCATACATCGAAACTTTTTCTCCCCAGTTTTGGACGTTCCACGGCCACATGGACCGACTTTTTGGAAGTTTTTTTTTTTTTTTTTGGTACGGCCATGTGAGGATCGGCCTCAGCACTCGTATTCGGCTGGCTCATGGGTAGACGACCTCCAGCAGCGGGCAGCGGCGATGCGAGACTACATCGAGTCTGCGCTCAGCCGCTTCGACTTCATCGACGAGCCGACACCGAGCCGCTTGACTGTTGGCGATGCGGTCATGCTTCGCCGGCCTCAGCGCTGCCAGAAGCGCCTAACCCCGTACGAGCCTGGTTGGCAAGTTATGTCGATCGTGGGCCCCTCGACGGTGGTGGTTCATTGGGTCGACGGCACCGGCCGTGACAAGATCGTTAAGGCGTGCCGCCGAGGATGATCTGCCGCCGCCGCCGCCCGTCGCTCCGGGTACCAGCGATGAAGCCGAGTCGGGCCCTGTTCCGTCTCTGGTATTGAGCGTTGACCCGGTCACGCCGCCGCCTGCTGCAGGCCCATCATTGCGCGACCGGTCTACGCTCGTGCGACCTGCTCGATATTCATGATTATGTTGTAGCTATTCGGTAGTGACATGAGTCACTAAGGGGTGATGTGAGAGCATGCATGGTATTCGTTGCTCTAACTTCTGTCTTACATTCCTTGTTGCACCCGCCGGCTACCATGGCTCATTGATGGTCTCCCGACATGTAATACATTCCCTTTGACTTTGTGTCACCGCCAGATCCTTTTACTTCTGGTGTCCGTTTCATGTTCATCTATTGCTCGCTTGCGCGCTGGCATGCAACTGGCGTGCTCTCATGCGTACAGTGCGTACAACGAAGAACTACGTCAGTTCCAGTTAGTTTTTTAGAGTTGGCCGTGGAACAAACTTGTGTTTTTTCGCTCTCCCACATTCTCTGCTTCTTCTCCAATAATTATATGAACACTGTTCGCCAAAGAACTCGGGGTGGACGTTGTTGCGAGTGCGTGTCCGGGAGTGAGTTGGGGCGGTCGTGATTATCTAACAGCCATGGCCGTACTGGCCGTACCAGTGGCGCCGGCCCTGACCATGTAGTGAGGTTTACAAATCCATCCACAGTTAACATTCATTTGAAACATTTCTTGACAACATAGTAGCTGAATGGGGAACAGACATACCTGACATATCCATGCAAGGCCAGCTCAAACACCAGCATAACCAATATGGCAGCTCTCTTGTGCGGTCCACCAGTGACTATGGCCATTAGTATGCTGTACGCCAGTCGTCTCATGATGTTGTAGGTAGCCCACCACTGGCAAGATGGTTCGTAGATATGCTTGGCTTCATCCAGCAGACCAATCAGTGCTGGCCAGCGGTGAGTAGGTTGCCAGACAAGTAAGATTGGTACTGGTAGAACAAAACAAACAACCGATATCATGGCAGCAGCCACGTACAGTGCATGCTCTTTGCTGAAGCAGGTCACGGTGGCGTCAATATAGACCACCCTCTTGCCATCTCTGCTCCTGCCACCGATAGGTATGCAGTACATCAGTACGGCCGACGAGTAAGTAAACAGAGTAATGTACCACAGGTTGACAAGCCAGAGAACATGGCGTATGGAATTACGATGCTGTAACCGTTGTAGGAAGCGGAGTGTGCGCCCATGCCTTGTTCGGCTCAGGATGAGGAACGCAATGATACAGACAACGGTCATGAAGGGCGAGGCAAGCATGGCCATCTGTCTTTGCAGTTGAGTCAGGTGGTTTGACAAGCAGATGTTGGACAGACCAAAGGTGATGATACCGATATACATTGTTGCCACCGTCTCGTTGGACCCGAAAATGCAGTACAGGATCTGAAGACCAGCATATAAGTTGACATTTTCCATCAAAACAACAACAGCAGCAGCAGCAGCAGCAGCACCAGCACCAACCACAACAACACAAACGAGATGAACAAGAACAACAAGAACAACAAGAAGAAGAACGGCAGCAGTAGCAGCAGCAGCAGCAGCATCAACTACAACAATGACAACTACAACAACACACATCTACAGTCAACTTCGCCAATAACGACTGCGGATATAACGACAATTTGCGAATAACGACCGAATTTCCATGCCCGGAGCAAAGTCCCATCTAACTGTACACATTCAACTTCGGATATAACGACTATCTGAATAACGACAATTCGCGAATAGCGACATGCTTTCAGTGCCCCGAGGTCATATTCACTGCTTGAATAACGACTTTCTGGGCTTTTGACAGCTATTTCAAGTATCTGTCAGTCATGTACATGTACATGTACATGTACATGTACAAGTACATGCACATGCACATGTACCTGTACCTGTCATGCAGAAGTACCAGAACCTATACTATGGTGATGGATAAAGAAAAGAAAATGCAGCCAAGGGGGGGGGGGGCTTTTTCTTCCTTTTTTATTTTGCTTCAAAAGTGTTGGACTTACCAGCACACCTACATGCATGTACATTGTTAGATTGACAGCATGAAACAAGGTGGAGGACACTGTGTTCGAAAACAGTTACCTTACTACAACCTTCCGCGGTTGGCACTTGGCAGAGCCCCGGTCCCTGCGGACCATTTGAACCATATTATGGGTACCGCAGGGACCGGGGCTCTGCCAACCGCGGAAGGTTGTAGTAAGGTCACTGTTTTCGAACACAGAGTGTCCTCCACCTTGTTTCATGCTGTCAATCTAACAATTGCGTGAACTACAACAAGGTTTATCTAATGCTGGTTTACCAGTGTTGGATTCTATCATGCACTTACATGTAGTTGTACATGATTGTACAGTAATCATCATACATGTACATGTACATCATTGTCCCTAGGCCCTGGCCCTGTAGATCATGGTAGATGGCTCAAAAAGGCATATTTTTCAATTTATTTCCCTTGCATATTGAATTTTTAGTTCCTTTCAACTGCAATATGAAAATAAAGTACACATTGACATAGAGCAAGAAAAGAGCTTGATTTTGATATGCGTGTCATACTATACAAAATATGGGTTCACATACATTCAAATGGGACTTCGGTTATATGGACACTTCGCGAATAAGGACACCTTTCTGATGCCCCGCCGAATGTCGTTATTCGCGAAGTTGACTGTATAGTCGAAGCGATGATTGCAAAAAAAGATACGTCCGTCATAACTCGTAACACTATATTGTGGCCTTTCTTTTCATCCATGATTACTTTGGCTCAACATCTGAGTTTTAAGTAGCTATTACTTTATGCTAGGAGTACACCATGCAACAGCGTTTAATTAAGGGAGAAATAATTAGCTGACTACCATTATTTTAACCTGCATTGCACCACACAGTTGGTTGATGTCCACCTAATCATGTGTTATACCGGGAGCACACAAGAGACTAACATCAGCAAGGATCTGTATTAGTGTGGGAGCCAGGTGCCCAAAATGTTTACTTTCGTTGCAGTTGAGAGCGCACAACTTTTTGGGTGTTCCAATGTGTAGAGGGGGACCACAAGGAGCTCCACGATATAATGTTTTACTCTAGAAACTTGATGGACGGTACTGAAATTAGCCGTTGAAGTTTCGTGCATACGCATGGTAACCGTGGCACAGCTGAGACTTTCAGCTCGTGCTTTTCTTGGTTGCACTCACCTTACCCTCTTATGTTATCATATGACTTAGAACCTTTCAAGTTGGAAGGCTGTTGGAGTCTTTTCTAGAAACTTTTTTAGAAGTACTTTTTTCAGCCCGGGCCGGGCCCCCGTACTATCTCCTTTCTTCATTTCCCACAATTCTACAAAAACTATGACTTCCCCTTTACTTTCGGCAAAAGGTACGGGTCGGTTTAAAAAAGCCTCTGTTTCTGGTTATACGGCGCGTGTAGAGCTAGGGACTGCGGCCTTCGGAGGTGACCAGTCTTTGAATACAAGTGGTCATATGGATCACCAGATGGTCAGGTGGGTATATGAATACAGGTGGGTATATGAGTACAGGTGGGCACATGCTTACCAACACAGAGAATAGCCATGTGTCTAAAATGGCCGTCACACCAATGTTGATGGTCAGTGCAAGCAAGAAGATGATAACAGCCAAGACAAACAAGAGCACGCAGACTACGGCGATGGAAAGTGGCATGGTGTGCTTCCGGCAGTCTGAGCAACCCTAAGGCACAGAGTAGGAGAGAGAGACATACAGACATATGGACATACATGTACATGCATGTAACACGAGAAAGAAGGAGAGAGAGAGAGAGAGAGAGAGAGAGAGAGAGAGAGAGAGAGAGAGAGAGAGAGAGAGAGAGAGCGAGAGAGAGAGAGAGAGAGAGAGAGAGAGAGAGAGAGAGAGAGAGAGAGAGAGAGAGAGAGAGAGAGAGAGAGAGAGAGAGAGAGAGAGAGAGAGAGAGAGAGAGAGAGAGAGAGAGAGAGAGAGAGAGAGAGAGAGAGAGAGAGAGAGAGAGAGGGAGAGAGAGAGAGAGAGAGAGAGAGAGAGAGAGAGAGAGAGAGAGAGAGAGAGAGAGAGAGGGAGAGAGAGAGAGAGAGAGAGAGAGAGAGAGAGAGAGAGAGAGAGAGAGAGAGAGAGAGAGCGAGAGAGAGAGAGAGAGAGAGAGAGAGAGAGAGAGAGAGAGAGAGAGAGAGAGAGAGAGAGAGAGAGGGAGAGAGAGAGAGAGAGAGAGAGAGAGAGAGAGAGAGAGAGAGAGAGAGCGAGAGAGAAGAGAGAGAGAGAGAGAGAGAGAGAGAGAGAGAGAGAGAGAGAGAGAGAGAGAGAGAGAGAGAGAGAGAGAGAGAGAGAGAGGGAGGAGAGAGAGAGAGAGAGAGAGAGGGGAGGGGGATGTCATTGAACGACTGTGCCGAAGTATCTTCTTTCGTCAATAAGAAATTTCGAGTGGATGAGCTGCTCAAGCCAGCAATAAACTGGTCTCGAAGCGCTCGATCGAGGTGATCAGCAAACTCACACCTCACAGCCAATCTCTTCAGACGAATGATGAAATCCGCAGTCGACTCATTTTCCTTCTGCTTCAACTGATGGAAATTGAACGTCGCCGAAACTTGCGAAATTGCAGGTTGAAAATACTTCCTCAAAAGATCGCAAATCTCTGACAGTTTCTTGTCAGCTACTTTCGCTGGCAAACAGAGGCTCCTCAAAATCGAGTAGGCTTCCGCAGACAGCAAACTCACTAATACAGCCTTCCTTTTCTTGCTGGCAGCCAACTTGTCTGCAGCATTGGCCGAAGCAGCCACGGTTCCAATATCATTGGCAAAAAATAGAATTCAAGTCTTTCCTCAAACTCTTGAAAGTCACCGCCGGTAAACGGCTGAAGCGATGATATCCGAGCCATATCTTCGTCGCCAGTTGTTGTATCCTACCCCAGGGGGTTCTACTCGGACTCATCCAGCTCGATCACACACACACACTCGAGGCCATTACAGATTTCAGTACATCTCAAACTCCATATCCGAAAAAGACCCAGCTCACGTGCGAGCATGCGCACTATATACATATGGTCCATGCCCAGGACATGACAGACGGGGGGGGGGGGGGGGGAGAGAGAGAGAGAGAGAGAGAGAGAGAGAGAGAGAGTGAGAGAGAGAGGAAGCTGTATTGCATGCAACTCCGAGTTTCAGTTTCACGTAGTTACGATCATCAGGCAACTAATGGCTCCAAAATGGGCAGCCTACATACATACTCGTACGTGCCTACAGACAGACAGTTGCAGAGACAGGCAGGTGGACGGTTGGATGGCCGGGTGGGTGGGTTGGCGCGCAGGTAAAAAGGCAGACAGACAGACCGATAGACAGACATACGGACAGATAGACAGACAAACCAACACACACATACACGCAAACGCACACCCGTGCTCACAAACAGATCAACGCTCACCAACACCCACCAACGCACACCAATCCACATCGGATACAACATTCAAGACAATGTCATGAACTTTGTACAAGCCGAAGTACACAGTGCACGGAACTATGAATATGTCATATTCATAGTTGCGTGCACTGTGTACTTCGGCTTTGAGCCTATGACATCTTTGTGGGTATTCAAATGGTGCAGTGAAATCATACAGATAGGGAGAACAAAAAAAGGAAGAACTGTGCTCATGGAAGCCTCAGAACCTGCAGTCCTCAGAGCCCTCCGTCCAATGGCTTCGATCTGAAGAAGTTGCCATGCAACATTGCCCAATCAAACACACTCCAGAGTCCGTCTTATATCCAACGATTGGTGTTAAAAGAGTCGCATTGAGTTCTTTCCAGTGGCCCACTTCTACGTGGACATCTACAATTCCTGGACATTTGCAGACGAAGCTGACCGCTTCAAAGTGGACGAATTATTTTCCCGTTTTCAGGCTCACCTGCAGCCGAAAGTAAACGCGTGGCTGGCCCGTTTCCAGCTTCAACAGCAACGGCAAAATGTGGGGGAAACCACTGACGATTTTCTCTGTCGCTGTCGGAACTTGGCAGTGAAGTGCAAATTTGCCGATGCCGGTGAAGTCAACACCCGTTTGCTAGAGCAGCTGATTGTCGGCACCCGACATAAAACGGTACAGGAGAAGCTGTTGGAGAAGGGCGGCCAGTTGTCGTCTCTTGACGAAGGGCTGGAAGTTGCGAGGACATATGAAGCTACAGCTACCCAGATGGCTCAGCTAACCGGGTCTCGCTCCGCCAGTGTTAGCCCTGCTGACGTATCCTTTGTTAAAAAGTCTGCTCCGAAGAGATCCAAGGATTTCAAGAAAAAACAACAAAAAAAGAGTTGTCAATTCTGTGGGTAGGAAGACCATGATCGTGCAGTATGCCCAGCTCGATCGGCTGAGTGTAATTTCTGTAAGAAACAAGGGCACTTTGCTACTGTGTGCCAGAAGAAGCAACGATCCTGTGACGCTGTACATACTGTACCGCCAGATGCGCATGCCCCTGGTATGTTTCTGGGCAGTGTCGATGCCGGACGTGACCCTTGGTCTGTGTCGGTGGAAGTCAACAATTCCCCAGTCACGATGAAGATCGACACCGGAGCCGATGTCTCTGTAATTCCAGCCAGTGTATTCCGCCTGTTAGATGTGCAGGCCCTGCGACCCAGTCGTCGTACCCTGATGTCTGCTAACTCAAGCGTCCTCGACGTAGCTGGCGTGTTCAACGCAATGGTATCACATGTGGGCAAGTCGTCTCGACAAGAGATTTTCGTTGCCAACAACCTCAAGCAGGCCCTCCTAGGACGCCCTGCAATAGTCGCCTTGGACCTCCTGGACGTCAAGGCTGACATCTCTGAAGTATCGAGCGGTATTCGCGACACCGCGACAGCACGAGCTGCATACCCCGATTTGTTCAGACCTCTCGGCACGTTCACTGGAGAGCCTCACTGCATTCGCCTCGAAGAAGGCGCCAAACCATTTGCTCTGTCCTGCCCGCGCGACAATGTGGCAATACCGCTAATGCCGATTGTTAAAGCGGAGCTTGAGAAGATGGAAAAGCAAGGCGTCATCGTCCCTGTCGACAAACCAACTGATTGGTGTGCTGGCCTTGTTGTTGTCGCCAAACCTGGATGGGAGGCAGTCCGTCTGTGCGTTGACTACACACGTCTCAACCAACACGTTCGTCGTGAGCAGTTCGTCTTGCCGGCGGTAGACCACACGCTGGGTCAGTTGGACGGTGCCAAGTATTTCACAAAGCTTGACGCCAACTCTGGGTTTTACCAAGTGCCCTTGGCCAAGGAATCCCTGAAGTTGACCACGTTTATCACCCCGTTTGGGCGTTTCATGTTCACGCGTCTACCATTCGGTATTTGTTCGGCTCCCGAACATTTTCAGAAACGAATGGCTCGGATCTTGAACGGTGTGGTTGGTACCGCATGTCAGATGGACGACGCTCTAGTGTTCGGTAGCACTGAAGAGGAACATGATAACCGGCTGCACCAGGTGCTACAACGGCTCAGCGACAACGGCGTCACACTCAACCCGGACAAGTGTCTCTTCAAAGTCACTTCTGCCAAGTTCTTGGATCATATCATCGACCAAGACGGCATCCACTCTGATCCCCAGAAGGTGCAGGGCATTCAAGACTTCACGCCATGCCAGGATGTCTCGGATGTGAGAAGCTTTCTCGGCCTCGTCAACCACCTTGGCAAGTTCTCTCCCTCACTTGCTTCCGTCTCACAGCCGATCCGCGACCTTCTCAAGAAAGGCAATGTTTGGTCCTGGGGACCCCCTCAGCAATCGGCATTCGAAGAGACTAAGGCTCTTCTGTCGTATACGCCTGTTCTTGCTCTGTACTCTCCCGAGTACCCAACTATTGTCTCTGCAGACGCCTCGAGCTATGGTCTCGGTGCCGTTATCAAGCAGCAACAGCCGTCCGGCGATTGGAAACCCGTATCGTTCCAGTCTCGTGCACTACTGCCGGCAGAGCATCGCTATGCTCAAATAGAAAAAGAAGCTCTTGGCCTCACCTGGGCTTGCAACCGATTCTCAGATTACCTCATCGGTAAGAGATTCACGCTGGAAACCGATCACAAGCCTCTGGTGCCCCTGTTCAGCACTAGTGCTCTCGACTCTATCCCTCCACGTGTACTTCGGTTCAGGCTCAACCTGATGCGATTTGATTTCGACATCGTACACATCCCTGGCAAAGATCTAATCGTTGCTGATGCCTTATCTAGGTCACCTGCGTCGCATCCTCTGTCCGCCGATGACGTCCGCCTCCTCGACGACGCAGAAGCTTTTCTCGACAGTGTGGTTTCTCATCTCCCTGCGTCCGATGCAAGACTGAGTGAGATTCAACACCAGCAGGCTCAAGACCCAGTGTGTCAACATCTTGTGCAGTACACTCTGTCCGGTTGGCCAAGTTTACAGTCTGCTCCAGTGTCCGTTAAGCCCTACTACGCATCCCGGCAGTCATTCTGTATCACAGATGGCCTGCTCCTGTACGGTTCCAGAATCGTCATCCCGGACCAGCTCTGTCCAGAAGTCCTCCAGCAGCTCCATGCTGGTCACCTCGGCATCACGAAGACCCGCGAAAGGGCTCGCCAGTCAGTTTGGTGGCCAGGTCTAAGCGCCCAGTTGGCTGATATCGTGTCGAATTGCCAAGCCTGCGCTCGTGACAAGCCAACGCCAATGGAGCCCCTGCTGTCCTCACGTCTTCCCGAGTTTCCGTGACAGGAAGTCGCTGCCGATTTCATGCAGTTCCAAGGCTCTCAGTACCTAGTTGCCGTCGACTACTACTCCCGATGGATCGAGCTTGCTCAGATGTCCCTTACTTCTGCAGCTTCTCTCATCACGCAACTGAAGTCCATGTTTGCGCGTCACGGCAATCCAGATGTGTTTGTTTCGGACAATGGTCCCCCATTCACAAGTGCAGAGGTTTCAGCATGGCTTCAAGAGCAAGGAACTACCCAGCGCGCGAGCAGCCCACTTCATCCGCAAGGCAACGGCTTAGTGGAACGCGCAGTGCAGACCCTAAAGCATTTGCTGGTGAGGGGAGGTGATCCGTATGTTGCTCTGCAGAGCTATCGTGCCAGTCCACTAGCACATGGCTTCAGTCCTGCGGAGCTCCTCATGGGCCGCCGCGTCCAGACGCGTTTACCCATGTCGGCAGACGTTCGACGGCCATACCTCGTAGATCGCACAGCGTTTGCCGCCAAAGACGCCTCTCTGAAGTCCCGGCAAGCGTCGGATTTCAACTCCCGCCATCGCGCTCTCGATGCCCCGCCACTGGTCCCGGGTACCGCTGTCTTTGTTCCGGATAGGAAAGAGCCTGATATTGTCACTGCCGAGCATTCCACCAGGTCGCTTATCGTGGAGACGCCGTCCGGTTCGGTTCTCCGCCGAAACCGCAGTGCCCTCATCGTCGATCCGCCTGCAGGTCCTGCTAACGCTGAGGACAATGGTGAGCCAGCGTCACCCGCCCAACGTCCATCTCCAGGTACTCCCGTCCCTGAGCGTTCCTGTAGAGTTACCCGTTCCGGACGTGCCGTTAATACTCCCATCAGATTCCGTTAATCATTTAGCGTTACTCTTTCGTCTTCAGCATTATTCCTGTTTTGCTAACTTATCGCTCTCTTGCTGCGCACCCTGAAAGGGGAGATGTCGTAATATCTGGACTCTATTATGCGTACACTACTGTACACTTATGACTGTATGCGTTGCATGCTGTCTGTACGTCACACAGGCCGTTTCCCGTAGGCCAGAACTTTGATGTGCTTCACCATGTTCACTGGCTCGGGACTTCTCTTGTTTTGGACTTACCTACTGGTTGTGCATTTCTTGCTGCTCCTCATTAGTTTACTCGTCCATGTCTCCTTGTCCATATTGAGAATAATACTACAATCATCATCTGGAATTCTGGCATATGCGGGCAACATGTTCAACATGTTTGTGTGTGTGTGTGTCACCGGGTGTGTGTGTGTGTGTGTGTCACCGTGTGTGTGTGTATGTGTGTGTGTGTGTGTGTGTGTGTGTGTGTGTGTGTGTGTGTGTGTGTCACCGTGTGTGTGTGTGTGTGTGTGTGTGTGTGCTTGCGTGCATCAAACAGCATGTGCGGTGCATGTATCTGTGCTTACCACTCGGTCAAGGTTTACAGAGTAGTCTGGTTTGCACTGGCTGCACAGCAGACCCCGTGCATTGGACTCTGCCGTGCAGGGGTCATCTTCCCACAGTAGCCAGGTGTCCTTGCCAGGATGCTTTGAGCACGTGCCTTTGTCACAGAAAGACACCACGAAGGGATCCGGGAATGGACTCTGGTCCAATCTTCCCAGAGGGTCACTCCCATTGCCAAGGAATTCTGTTTCCGATATGACAAAGCCACCGCCAATACCGTCGAGTGCAGAGGAATTGAACGGTTTCCCAGGAATAGTCGTGCTGTCATTGCGCCCAGCCCAGCAGTACGATGAGACGGAGATGTGTTTTCCTTCGCGACATGCTATGTTGCATGTGTATTCATCATTTCGACACTTGCATGACAGTCGCTCCATGGTCAGCTTTTGGAGCTCTGTGAAATTAGCCTCGCTGTCTTTGTGTACATGTACGTTGAACTCTCTAACCCACTCCTGTGCCTACATCATCGGAAGGAATTTAAGGCATGCACAAAGAAATACACACACAATACACACAAAGGAATATCATAAAAATGTTGGTCAAGCAGGAGTATACGCTTCATTGGTGAAAAGAATGTTGTGGATATCATCACCTTTGGTCACACACAAACACACACACACACACACACACACACACACACACACACACACACACACACACACACACGCACATGCACGCATGCGCATTTGGATGCAGGAAAGGTTCATTTGTAACTAGGGGCCAAATACAGTGCAACTGGAATACCTGAGATGAATTTGCCGTTGACCATCTGTATCCCAGGTGACAGTCACGCAAACGGAATGGAATCTTGAGCTCTATTGGCTTGGACTGAGCGGAGCCATACGTCGACAGAGCTGGGCAAACGGGAAAGAGAACAATTTTCATCTCTGATGCTCGACCGCCGTCAGTGCAGGAAGCCACTGCACCAACATCTGCACCGCCATGCTGTGCGGCACTTTCCACAGTTACTGATGACGTGCATGTTTACTAACGGATGTTTGTGTAAGGTCTAAGGAGTCAGTTCTCTGTGCACTGACTGACCACACCGTGATCTGTGTAAGGACTAAGGAGTCAGTTCTCTGTGCACTGACTGACCACACATCTGTGTAAGGTCTAACGAGTCAGTTCTCTGTGCACTGATTGACCACACATCTGTGTAAGGTCTAAGGAGTCAGTTCTCTGTGCACTGATTGACCACACCGTGATCTGTGTAAGGACTAACGAGTCAGTTCTCTGTGCACTGATTGACCACACATCTGAAGATTGCCTGGCCAAGACAAGACACCCCGTTCAAATCTTCTCGTACCACTTTCGCCTCTTCGCCAGGAAAATAAGCTGGTAGACTGGAAAGCCTGCATATATGCCAACCTGGAGACTTGAGTTCCCTGGGCAACGAGGCTGAATGCCCTTGATTTTGACCGTTTTCCCTGGACACCAATTTTTTAGCGCATCCATCATTAGCAGATGCATTTTTCATGACTGCTGCTCAAGCAAAAGGGATGTCATTGCATTGGGCTGTAACTGCACAGATGAACTTTCTGTTTACTATGCCGTTATACCGGCGATCCGTTGCAGTTTCACATGATTTTTTGTCTACTACGTGCTGTGCTGTGCTGTGCTGTGCTGTGCTGTGCTGTGCTGTGCTGTGCTGTGCTGTGTGTACTTACAGCAGATCTACAAGTTCGAGGAAACACTGAAAAAGCGTCAACAAAAAGGAGAACTTCGATTTCAAAAGTTCCATCTCATATCCCTGGACTTTTGCAGGACATCCCTGGACCCCGGGACAAACACCCTATTCCCTGGACTGTTCCGGGAAACCCTGGATGGTTGGTATGTGTGAGCCTGGTCAAAGCCTGGTCAAATTTTGATCCATATTAAGACTGGGACATGGATGCACACCTGAGCAGAAGACTAAGAGGAAGTACTATGTGAATCCAGGTCGTATTGATCCACAAACTCCCTGCTCTGAGACCGGGAAGGGTGGAGGGACTCTAGAAGCAATCATAGTGCAACCTGTCTAAGCCATGCAACCATCCAAGGGACTCCAACAACATTATCCTTGTGCAGTCTAGCACATGCGGTCCCTTTGTCCATTATCATTTCCTCCTCCCCCACCCACATACACACCCTACGGTCCTGGTGGTAGTGGTCCCCTGAGACAGGTGGTTGCCTGATCAGAGTAGTAACCCCTAGAAATGTGTGACCGTGTCCTCCTAACCTTGTATGGTAACCTCAAGGTACCCATGAGCTCCGGGCGGCCCATATAGGACAAGATTTTTTTCTGCCGAGCCGGACCACAGCAACGCATTTTTGGTTGATTGGTAGATATGCTGGGGGGTTCCCAGGAGCACATCTTTGCTCTCATATTCCACCTGGAAAGGACAGGGCAAAGCAGAGCCATGTGGTGCATTGGTGACAATAGACTTCTCGGACACTGAGTACGAGTTGTACAGTTTTTTTGCTGCTCATGGGGGTATATGTTACACTCAGTGAGTTCGTTCGATTATGAATACCGCGAATCGATTCATGAATAGATTCGCGGTATTCACATCACCCCATGTGAATAGGGTGAATGGATTCCGAATCGATTCCAGGGCTCATGGATATGAAAATCGAACGACTTAAGGTGGCATATCACCCACAAATCCCTAAAAAATCGAATTTGTAAATTCATGTCAAGTGCTACATCAGTTGAAAGAGCATGAATAGCTGCAAAATCTCAGAAAATGTTGTCTCGATCTGACCAGCCGTTCAAGAGTTATGGCCGAAAATGTGCCCTTGCAAGGAACGATTTTTTTGTTGCACGCTGTCATATTTTGGTAGCACTGTATTTGAATCTGAGCAGACCGTGCGCAACTTGTCGTATCATGGAAACACGCGAAAGTGTGCAGAATTTTGCTCCAAGTCCAAAAATCACGTTTTTTTTAGCCATGTATTGGGCTGCACGGCGGTGGGCGAAGCAGGACTTTTGCCAGCACCCTCGTGACGTTGCAGATAAATGTGGCTTGATTATTGTAGTTGACGTTGATTTAGTGACTTTGGCAAGTTTGAGTCGTGTCAAGAAGTCAGGTAAGATTCAGTACTAGGCAGTAGTGGAACGTGAGTGGTAGTCTTTGCCGATTTTTGAGGGTATCCTGGGTTTGGTGTGCAGCACTGTGGAAATGGCTTGTCGTGGAGGTCCCAGCACTGGATGTTGTATCAAAGGTACGACCTCGTAGCACCCTAAACCTTAAAAAAATCAAAAATTGACTTCAGTCTATGGGAGTCAGTGAGAGAACACCCACTCGTGCCGTTGTGACAGATTCCAGGGCCACGTTGAGGGGCCCTATCCCACCACCCATGGCTGCTTCTGGACTTGTTTTAGGTTTATATCCCGCGCACGGACAGAATGGGCAAGAAAATGTGAAGAAATTGTAAATGCATTTTTTTGGCTCCTGGGTGGCTTGCACACCGTGGCACTATGCCGGAATTTTGAGTTTTTCCGGCCTGGAAAGCCTGTCAGTGAGGCGCAAGAACTTTTTAAATCATGTCCTGAGGGCCAGCATACTGTAGTGGCAGGAGTGTGTGGTGAAAATTTCACTCAAATCCATTGAGAGACACCAAAGTTACGGTCAATTGAATGCCATATGAAATTTATGCGTAGGCTGCTACCTTTCTTAATTTAACCTTTTGAGCACTCTGACACGTCATGACCACTGCCACTGTGACACGCGTGACGTTCTAGAACGTCACGAGTATTGTACGGAACTACAGCGATTCCGCACTTCTTCCGTGGCTTGGCGTCGAGCTGTACCGCTGCACAGAGTACTACTAGGATGTACGAGAACAGTAAAAAAATGTCACTTCTCTGCGGTTGACGTCACAGTATAAGAATTAGCAGAGAAGTAGTGTTCTCTGTCCACCCGGGAACGGGTACGAGGGAGCACGGTGTGGGATAAAAGGAGGTGACGAGTGCAGGGTCGGCCTCTTTTGTCTTTGTGCGGAGAGTTGAGTGAGAGTTGTGAATTATTTAATTTGAAAGTTTTGGTTTGTGAAAAGAATGTCGAGGTCAAGAAGTGTGTCGCCGGGTGGTAGTGGTAGCGAGAGTGAAGGGTATGTTGAGGAGAGTGGGAGGATGAGAGAGATGGCTGCGAGATTGGAGACGTTGGAGAGGAAGTTGGAGAAGTCTAGTCGTAAGAGGAAAAGAGAGGATAGGAGTGACAGTGACAGTGAGAGTGAGTCAGAGAGGAGCAGGAGCAGGAGAAGTGGCAGGAGTAGAAGTAGCAAGAGGAGAAACAGCAAGAAGAGCAAGAGGAGCAAGGAAAGTAAGCAGGTGAAGAGGGAGAGACAGGACGAGAGGATGGCGGCGGCAAGAAAGAGAAGTTGGAAGGCCAAGGCCCACAAGGAGCAGTTCTGCGTGATCAGTAAGGCGTTGGAGCCTCTAGCCAAGGCAAGGCAGAAGGCGGAGCGTCGAGGCGAGAAAGACATCGCCAGAAACATCGAGGAAGGTGAGAGCGTCCTCCAGCGGCGCGTCAAGCTATTGCTGTTTGCGGACGCCGAAGGGTGGTCGGCCGCAAACATATATGACGGAAAAATGGAGTGCGGGGTATTGTTATATATGCACTCTGATGTAATATATTATGTACTCTGTATGCATTTGTATATACTCATTGCGCATGCTCTGATCATGGTCTTACTCTACATGTATCCATGCCGGCTGGTTGACTCTGGTGAGCTGCGTGTGAGACTGCATGTAGGGTGTACGTGGATACACAACAGCGGGTCCGATACGGACGATGAGCGGAGGATGAGGAGGGCCAGGGCGGAGGCCAAGGAGGGGAAGAGGAGCAGTGGCAAGCCCTTTCCAGGAGGCCGCCCAGCCGGGGTCGGGCTCGGAGCGGCTGCTCGAGCCCAGACCATGCCGGCCGCACCGAAGCCACCCGGATTCTGCGCACCGTTCAAGGAGCTGGCCTGTTGGTGGTGTGGAGGGAAGGGGCACGTGCAGCGGGACTGCAAGCAGCCTGCCCCAGGCCCAGCACCTGCCAGGTCATTCCCGGTGCAGCAGCAACAGCAGCCACGATGAACAAGATAAGTTTGATGTGCATGTTGATGATGATGATGAGGATGAGGATGATGAAAAGAGTGTTCAAACTTATTCAGATGTTGTGGTTGAAAGCGGATATGGTGCGGAAGGGGAAGGGGAAATCTGGGCAGAGGGTGAAACTGTGATGCATGGGAGATTGAAGCGGTGCATACCGTTTTGGAGGGAGACGGGGGCTTCATCTTGGATTATTAGTTAAATTGTGTTAGCCCGCTGGGAGTCGTGGAAGGTGCTAGGAAGCTGAGACTGATTTTAGACTTGAGGCAAGTGAATGAATGTTTGGCAAAATTCAGGTTTAAATTGGATAATATCAGGATGGCAGTGAAGCTTTTTCAGAAAGACGACTTTGTTGTAACATTCGATTTGAAGAGTGGTTATCACCATGTTGATATGGCAAGGGACCATTGGAAGTATTTGGGTTTCTCATGGGGAGGTGAATTTTATTGTTTCAAGTCATTGCCGTTTGGGCTCTCCACTGCTCCGTATCTTTTTAACAAACTGGTCCGTGTGATGGTTCGTTACTGGAGGGCTCAGGGCATTAAGTGCATGATGTTCTTTGACGATGGCTCTGCAGGAGCGGGCACTGTGGAAGAGACATTGAGGGTAGCAGGTGTGCTCACGGAAACGTTGGAAGATCAATGTGGAGAAATCGTGTCTTGTGCCTTCTCAGAAGCCTACCATTCTGGGTTTTGTGTTGGACCTGGTTCACGGGAGAGTAAGTGTGGCGGAGGCAAGAGTTCTGAGGTTTTTGGAGCATTTGAGGGTTTTGCATAGCAAGAGGAGACCGAATGCCAAAGAGTGTGCTAGGCTGGCTGGGTTCATCATTTCAATGTCTTTCGCCATTGGGCCAGGTGCAAGGTTGAGAACCAGGGCAATGTATGACATGATTCTCAGGAGGAAAAGCTGGTTTCAAGTCATAGACAGGAGTGGTCTGATGAGGCTTCTGCAGAAGTGAGCTTCTGGTGGTATTGTTTCGATGAGTTTCATGGAAGATTGGTTGTGGGTGATCCCAAGATAACAGCAGTTGTAGACACGTGGTCAGATGCTAGCGATGTAGCCTGGGGAGGTTTTGCGGTGTCCTGCGGGGAAACGATTGCAAGAGGGAATTGGCCGGAAGAGGTGTTAGAGGCTCAGAAGAGTTCTACGTGGAGGGAATTGAGGGCTACCGAGTTGGTGCTGCAATCGGTGGTCCAATAATTGGCAGGCAAGGAATGTAGGCACCGGACGGATAATCAGGCGGCAGCTCGTATTCTGCAGGTGGGCAGCAAAGTTCTAGAACTGCAAGAGATTGCATGTCGGATTTTCAAGTTTTGCAGGCAAAATTGCATTCGACTTGTGCCAAAATGGGTTCCAAGGGAGGAGAACTTTCTGGCAGATTTTTTATCCAAGGTAGTGGATACTGATGACTGGAAATTGTCGTCTGAGGTATTCGATGAGGTAGACGGTTTGTGGGGCCCGCACACTGTTGACTGCTCTGCCAGTGCAGAGTCGGCACAGTTGCCTCGTTTCTGCTCACGTTGGTGGAATCCAGGATGTTTGGCCGTGGATGCTTTCACGATGTGCTGGGAAGGGGAGAACTTATGGTTGTGCCCCCCCCCCCATTTACCTTATCGGAGACGTTATTAGCAGAATTTCAGTAATTGTCAGTCATGGGACATTGGTTGTCCCAAAATGGACATCTGCATGGTGATGGCCATGCTTATTCAAAGGTACTGAAAGCTCCACGTTGGTGAGGAGTTTTATTTTCCTGCCTAGAATATCAGGTCTGTTTGACAGTGGCTCTTGCCAATGGAATTGGTTTGATGGGAAGGTGCCAAGGTGTGAAGTCATGGCAATCAGGTTCTGTAGTATCATGGGCTGTCGGTGCTGTGAGACAGAATGTCGGGAATGATATTGAACTTAAAGACAAGGTGTCTGCAGATGGTTCTGTGTTTTGCTGTGTGTTGGTTGTTGATTGGCTGCAGATTCTAGAGGCTAGTTCTGCGAAACGCACATGGTGCATAGCCTGAGGCAGGCTGGACGGTCCTGGGGACTGTGCTGGTGGATCCAGCGCCAAGGAGCTGCCAACATACCAACAGAGGGAAGTCTGGTTTGGTACTTGCCTTGTATTATTGTTAGCTGTGTTTTTGCATGTTCCAAGGTGTGAAGTCATGGCAACCAGGTCCAGTAGTATCATGGGGTGTTGGCGTTGTGGGACACGATGTCTAGGTATCTGCAGAAGGTTCTGTGTTCTGCTATGTGTTGTTGATTGGCTGCAGAATCTAGAGGCTAGTTCTGTAAGACGCACAGGGT